AAGTAATAAAGTACTTACAACCTCCATGTGAGGGAACCTCCAACGAACATAGGTCTGAGTGAATAATCTCCAACTGTTTTGTAGCTCTCCTTGACTTGCCCACGGGAAAGGGATCTCTATGCTTCTTCCCAATCACACAAATCTCACATATACGATCAGGGACATTCACAACAGGTAAATCAGAAACAAGTTCCTTTCTCGCAAGATAGTTTAACCCAGAGAAATGAAAATGCCCAAACCGCATATGCCATAACCAATTATCATCACAAACTTCAGAATTAAAGTAATCAAGGAGAGTATGCTTAATTTTCAACGGAAATAGTCGATTTTGGGACATATTTACCTTTGCAATCAAAACTCCTTTAGCATCTGCAATGGTACAACACCCCTGAGCAATATGTATCTTATATCCTTTTTCTGACAACTGACCCATACTCAACAAATTTTGGTGTAGTTCAGGAACATAGAACACATCGGATATAAAATTGTGAGTACCATCCTTCAACTGAATAGAGATTTTACCTTTTCCCAAAATTGGCACCTTTGACTTATTGCCAAACGTTACTTCAGACCGGACTGATTCATCTAGTTCGGAAAACAATTCTTTCTTCCCACACATATGGTTACTACACCCAGTATCCAAGAACCATATGTTCTTATCAGCAGAAAAACTATCACTGGCCAAAAGTAAGGTTTCAGAATTCTCACCAGACTTTTCAGTAGTATTTTCAGCAATGTTTGCTTGATTTCCACGATTGTTGTCCTCATTATACCAACAATCTGCAATCTTGTGCCCATACTTGCCACAATTGTAGCAATGAAATGGAAATTTACCTTGTTTGGTATTACCTCCACCTCTTCCTTGGTTGGAGTTACCACGTCCTCCTCCTTGGTTGAAGTTACCACGACCTCTTCCACTAGAACCTCCTCTTCCTCTTCCACGACCTCTACCAGATCCTCCACCTCTTTGATTAGTGTCAGCCACATTAAGGGTGACTTGACTCTTCAAAGCTTCTTCTACTAGTGGTTCCGATTTTGACGCAATTCTGTCAATATGACTTTCTACCATACCTTTCAGCTCTGCAATTGATAAGAGCTCGGTTTTGTGTGACTCTGTTATTGAAGCCACCACATGGTCATACTTCATCGGCATAGTTCGAAGAACTTTTTCAACCACTGCACCATCTTCAATCGTATCTCCATATAGCCTCATCTTATTCACCATATCAATAAGACGAGTGAAATACGCATCTACTGTTTCTGTAGAGGTCATCTCACAATTATCATACAACCTTCTCAACGACTGCAACTTAGACTTCTGTGCCCGATCGACTCCTTTGTGTGACACCTTTAAAATGTCCCAAGCTTGTTTTGCTGTTTGAGCACGAGCTAATTGCCCAAAAATGGAATAATGAACACCTTGGTGAATCTGACCCAAGGCCAATTTATCTCGCCGTATAGCGTCTGCTTCAGCTCCTTCGGGTAGACCGGGATCAACAAAGCTCCAAAGATTTTGAGCTTGCAAATGTGTGGACATCATAATTTGCCAATAATTGTAATCGAGTTTCCCGTCCAATTTGGGACCCGTCCATACAATATTGAAATTTGCAGCCATATTTCACTACGTGAAATATCTCGGGGTTGAAAGGTTGACTGGCTCTGATACCAAATGTTAGATATATTAAATATAATATATTTAATATAATATATATTAAATATAATATAATATATCTATAATATATATATAATATATATTTGAGAAGAGAGAGAGAGGGAGAATTGAATTCACTTGATTGATGTTTGAAAAAGATTGATACACAGCCTTTTTATAGTAAAGGAGAAATAATAATAAAGCTAAAAATTAGGAATGTATGCTCCATGTACTCCACATACACTAAGCCACATACTGCATACACACCACCCACTACTTAATTTAATTAACAAACTAATTAACTCTTGGTTTAACAATTATAATAATAATATTATTATAACAGAGAGACACTCCGTGCTACTAGACCATATGGTTATTGACTGTAAACGTTCTACTAGATACTGTCAAGACCCAAATTTCAAAGCGATTGCTTTCAGGAATAGTAATGTGCAACTGAAATTTAATTTAATTTGTACAATAATTTTCTAAACATTCTACCCGCTATTGTCAAGACCGAGTCATCAAAGTAATCCTAAAGACGACCGTCATCGTCCATGAGAGCAACTGAAATTTAATCTCTACAGAAAAAAATTCTTCTTCGGAATACTGTGCAATATATATATATATATATATATATATATATATATATATATATATATATATATATATATATATATATATGTATATATATGTATATATATATGTATATATATATATATATATATATATATATATATATATATATATATATATATATATATATATAATGCAAAATTCCAAGTCAATAGCCCTCACCGATGAAAATTATTTATATTCCTGTGCTTGGTGATCTTCGTGTTAGAAAGCATAAAGAAAAAACTTTCTAAACCATTTCAATTGTTTACCCTTCGATAAATTGAAAAAGCTAGCATTTCTTAGGTAAACAAGTAATTATTATACCATGAACAATTGTCCGGTAAGGTGGGCTATTGAAATAAAATATATTTCTAATATATATTAAAAGTACATTATTTGTGTACTGAATATTCAATATAGAAAAATATATTATTTGAGTACTTTAAAAGTTCATTATTTAATATAATACTAAATAGTAAATTTTGAATATACATATAATATACTTTTAGTACATTAAAAATTTACTTTATATATGCCAATGGTTAAATTTATAAGGTAGACTATGGTCTGCAGTATAATTTGCCCATTTGAAAATTAATAAACATTTCATGAAATCTATACTTTAATAAAGCTCTAGGGATTAGCCAATGAAAATCTTCATGTTTTCCGCCAACTTTTTGCGACTTTATTTAGAAATCTAAATTTTTTATTGGTTTACGAAATTGTCTTTTTCTCTGGAAGGTATTGTGGACTTGAATTTAAAAGTTTTTCAACGCATACATGCAACTTAAGTTAGCTTGCTATGGACAATTATTGAATCACTTCAATTGAAGTTTGTATGAGATAGAAAGATGACAAAAATACTCTCTAGATATCACAAAGTACATATTTTTCTATTTTTGCTCAGAAATTGTTGAAATTCAAATATGACTAAATTAAGCACCATATTCAACCAAACTAAATGAGATACAAGCAAAACCATTATAAATACGGTATTTTTCTATTTGTAAACATTCTACTACCTACTGTCAAGACAAGACCCAAATTTCCATGCGATTGCTTTCAGGAATAGTAATGTCAAGACCGAGTCAACAATTCAATTTAATTTGTAAAATAATTTTCTACACATTCTACCGGCAATTGTCAAGACCAAGTCAACAATGTACTCTTAATTAAAGACGGCCTTCATCATCCATGAGAGCAACGTAATTGAAATTTAATCTCTACAGAAAAAAATTCTTGTTTGGAATACTGTGCATATATATATCATGCAAAATTCCAAGTCAATAGCCCTCACCCATGAAAATTATTTATATTCCTGTGCTTGGTATCGTGTTGGAAAGCTTTAAAAAACCATTTCAACTGTTTACCCTTAGATAATTTGGAAAAGCTAGCATTCCTTAGGTTTTTTTTTTTTTTTTTTTTTTTTTTTTTGCATCAAAGCTGTTAAGCATATGAGTGGTTGATATTTTATATTTGTTTTATTGTTCTAAATAGGCTCCTGTAGATTAGATTATTAATTGCATGAAACCATTAATTGGTAAAGTAAAAAATGTATCAATGGTAATAAATTCTATTATTTTGTCTTTGAAATATCATAAAGAGAGTTCACTCCATAAGTTATACACGTTTGAAAATTTAGATTATTTTCAGTAATAATACTTTTTTAACCATTAGGTTCGAAGAAGAGGGTTTTAGTCTGTTGTTTTCTCTTTGGCCTGGTGGACCTGAGTCCACCTTGCGAGGTGGATCCAGGTTAAAAAATACACAATTTATATTGAATGTTTATAATTTTATATATTAAATGTTCACAATTTACATACTAAATGTTCACAATTTACATACTGAATGTTCACAATTCAAATTGTGAATATTCAGTATATAAATTGTGTATTTTGAACCTGGATCTACCTTACAAGGTGGACCCGTGTCCATGGCATAACTGTTGTTTGATGAGATGTAGCATTCAATATGTAAATTGTGAACACTCAGTATATAAATTGTGAATTTTGAACCCGAGTCTACCTTACAAGATGCATAGAGTCGATGACATAAGTGTTGTTTGATGAGGTATAGAATAGCCTGGCTTTCATCAAGTTATTTTAAAGAAAGAATTATTAAAAAAAGGACCAAAGAGGTTGCCAAAGTGGAAAGATAAAAACTTCTAAGCCCATTGAAGAGTCATATATATATATATATATATATATATATATATATATATACTATAGACCCTAGTTCAATACACATGATTTGACTTCATAATGTACAGAATTCATATTCATAATGCACAAAATTTATGTTCATATACATACACATAAACATGATATAATGAACATGAATTCTGTGCATTATGAACATGAATTCTGTACATTATGAATATAAATTATTTGTATTATGTTAAGTGTTTACATGTCTTCATTATACCATATTTATGTATTATGAACATAAATTTTGTACATTATAAAGTTAAATTATGTGTATTGGACACTAGGGTCCACAATGCACTGTTATATATATGCCTAATGTAATTAAATTATGTGAAATTGGACTCAATGAAAGTTTAGACTAGGCCAGTAGCTCTAACTTCTCTCTATTACTCCTCTCCTGTACTTTATTTAAACTCTGCTCTTTCATGTTGATCAATACACTTCCATTCACAATCTTACATGGTATCAAGAGCCATAATCTCATAAGAGCTTTTTTTTTTCCTTCCCTATTGCTATCTCCTTATCAAATGGCCAGTCCACCTGCGACCACCACTGAGATTATCCAACTCACAGCCCCATCACATTTCCCTATCAAACTCACCCCTTCGAACTTTTCTGTCTGGAGGCGCCAGGTCCAATCCACGTTGATTGGCTTCAATCTTCTCGGCTTCATTGACGGCTCTGTCAAAGAACCAGCCGCGTTTAATGATTCTGCTCGCACAGTCGCGAACCCAGCTCATCTTGTCTGGTACCGCCAAGACTAGATAATCATCAGTGCTCTTTTGGGAGCTGTTGTGACACAATCCAGCCCCTCATATCCACAGCTAAAACCGCCAATGATGCCTGGCAACGACTTCTCGCCAGTTATGCTTGTGCCACTCGAGGACGAATCATTTCCCTCAAGGCCAAGCTCACGAAAAACCCGAGAGGCGTTCGGTCTGTTACCGCCTATCTCAATGATATGCGTTCCATAGCTGATGAACTTGCTTTGGCTCAGTGTCCGGTCTCCGATGAAGACCTTGTTGTCTACGTTTTGACTCAATTAGGAGAGGAGTACAACTCTATCATGTCAGCTGTTCGAATTTGTGAAATTCCAATTTCCTTGGGAGAATTAGCAGACATTCTCACTGATCATGAACGCCAACTAAAAGACGCCGATGATGCTCGTCAGTCCTTAATGGCCAGTGCTAATATTACTCAACACGGTTCTTTTGGTTCTCGTAATCAACAGTCTGCGTCGAACCGAAGGTCCCGTAATAATAATAACAACGGTACCGCTAACAACAGACCAACTTCACCGCAAGGAGGACCCAATCGAATGGGAGTTGTTTGCAAATTTTGCAATTTTGCTGGTCATGAAACGCGAGTTTGTCTTGAGGTTTAGAGTTTGTTAGCTTGCTATGGACGACTAAATCACCTCAATTGGAGTTTGTATGAGAGATGACAAAAAGACTTTCTTCATGTCACAAAGTGTATATTTTTTTTATTTTTTATTTTTTTGTTCAAAAATTGCTGAAATTCAAATAATAATAAATTAAGCACAAAGTGTGTGTGGTTTTGGCATGTATTCTTGAGCTCTATATATACTCTGTTCTTTCCAGTTTCCACCCAGTCCAAGTGCACTCAGTATAATAAATTAAGTTTATATCTTCTCCACAAAATGAGCTTCTCAATATTTTGTTTTTATGCCATATTTGCCTTCCTCTGTAAAGCTTCCTTCTCCCTGCCAGGAAATGTTTCTGATCACCAAGCATTACTTTCATTCAAGGCCAATATGAACGGAGATCCTCTTCAATCATGGAATGAGTCTACCCATTTCTGTAATTGGGTTGGAATAACTTGTGGTCGCAAACACCAACGAGTTGTAACAATCCATTTGGAGTCGAGCAACCTTCAAGGCTCTTTGTCCCCTGCAATTGGGAACTTGAGTTTTCTTAGAGAATTGAGGCTTTACAATAACACTCTATCAGGTATAATTCCTAATGAGATGGGTAGACTTAGAAGATTAAGTGTGTTGGATCTGGAAAGTAATGTATTTTCAGGTGAAATTCCAAAAAACCTTTCACATTGTGTTAGTCTAAGAGATATTTATTTGGGAAACAATAATCTAAGGGGTACATTTCCTTTGGAGTTTCGATCACTGTCCAAACTTGAGAACCTTTTGGTTTTCAGAAACCACTTGATGGGAGAGATACCAGCTTACATAGGCAATTTTTCATCACTCAAGGTACTTTCTTTTGCTGAAAATAATTTCATGGGAAAAATTCCTACTTCTTTTGGATGCCTGCAGAAAGTTTTTTTTTATATCTGTAGGCGATAACTACCTGAGTTCTACCATTCCCATATCCATGTTCAATCTGTCATCATTGGTAACTTTTGATGTACAAGGAAATAAACTTGAGGGATATCTTCCTTCAAATTTAGGCTCTACGCTTCCAAATCTACATTATTTTAATATTGGTTATAATCTTTTAAGAGGGCGACTTCCCATCTCAATGTCAAATGCCACAGCACTACACCATTTTGATGTTCGTCATAATGATTTTTATGGAGGGGTACCGTCATTTAGTGGACTTAAAAGACTAAAATATTTTGTACTTTATGACAATCCGCTTGGTAATGGAAAATCCACTGATATGGATTTCATGTCTTCTCTTCTCAATAGTACTGCTACACTAGAGACCCTGTATCTTGATAACTGCAATTTTGGAGGGGTTTTGCCCACATTCATAGCAAACTTTTCACATCTTCAGAGTTTTAGCATTGCAGAAAATGTCGTAAGTGGTACTATTCCCAGTGGAATTTGTCTTCTTGTTAACTTACAATACCTAGACTTATCAGAAAACCAGCTTGGCGGTACTATTCCAAGCTCATGGGGAAGCCTTCAACAACTCATTGGTTTAAGGCTGGAAGGAAACAAATTGTTTGGTGAGATTCCAATTTCATTAGGAAATCTGTCCATTCTTAGTGAGCTTTACCTACAATCCAATGAGTTGCAAGGTACTATACCCATAAGTTTTGAAAATTTCAAGTATTTGTTAGCATTAGATCTTTCCAGAAACAAACTCCAAGGAAATTTTCCCAAAGTTAACCTCACATCACTTGTGCATTTAGACGTCTCTCACAATCACTTTACAGGTCCTCTTCCTGTAGAGATTGGTGGGTTCAAAAATTTGCTGTCACTGAACCTCTCAAATAACATATTCTTAGGAACACTTCCAAGTACCATTGGTGCATTGAGTAGCTTGATTGAACTCAACATCAGTCATAATCTATTCCATGGATTTATCCTTCCTTCTTTCAGTTCTTTAAAAAGCCTAGAAATTTTAGATTTATCTTGTAATAACCTCACAGGAAAAATACCAGAATTTCTAGGTGAACTTCAGTACTTGAAGTGGTTGAATTTATCATTTAACCATTTGGAAGGCAAGATACCTACAGAAGGGATTTTTAAACACAAGGCTAAAGTTGAGCTTGTTGGTAACAACCTTTGTGGAGGTATTCCACAATTTGGGTTGCCAATATGCCCAAGAGAAGGGGAAAGACAACATTTGTCCCATATTCAAAAGTTGGCAATTTTATTTTCGAGTGGGACTTTGATTCTGCTGATAATTGTGGCTCTCATTGTGTTCACCTACAAGCAGAAGAAAAAGCAGGCTTTAACGTTGGATGCAGCAACAGAGTTCATGCCTAAGTTGTCATATTGGAGTATACAGAAGGCAACTAATGAATTTTCTAAATCCAGCATAATTGGTTTTGGAAAATTCAGCACCGTTTACAAAGGCATTCTTGATGGTAGTTTGGGAATTGTTGCAATTAAAGTGTTCAAGCTTCAAGTAAGAGGAGCATCCAAGAGCTTTTCGGTGGAATGTGAAGCATTGAGGCAAATTAGGCACCGAAACTTGGTAAAAGTTTTGACCACTTGTTGTAGTATCGACCATGAAGGTAATGACTTCTTGGCCATTGTCTATGAGTATATGATTAATGGTACTCTGGATAATTGGTTGCACAATCACTCAAAAGACACAGGAGAGAATAATGATTCAAAGAGTTTGAACTTGTTACAGAGGATAAATACTGCAATTGATGTGGCAAATGCACTTGATTATCTCCATAATCAATTGGAGACAGGTTTAATACATTGTGATTTGAAGCCAAGTAATATTTTGTTGGATGGAGACTTAGTTGCTCACGTGGCTGATTTTGGATTATCAAAGTTTCTTCCCACGGAAGTTACATCTAACCAAGCGAGTTCATCTATAGGAATAAAAGGGACTTTTGGATATGCAGCTCCAGGTAGACTATTCTACTTGAAACTTTTAAGAGTGAATCACTTCTAATTAAACATAAAAACTTTAAACATAATGCTTGAATTTGAATTTTTTCAGAGTACGGGATGGGAAGTGATCTATCAACATTTGGTGATATGTATAGCTATGGAATTCTTTTGCTAGAGATATTTACTAGTAAAAGTCCTACTAGTGATATCTTCAATAATGGTTTAACTCTTCATAATTATGTTAGACTGAGCATGCTTGAGCAAGTCACTGAGATTGTAGATCCAACGCTATTCCATAATGAAGCTAACGCAACACCTAAAAGTCTTGTACTTCAGAACCAGATAATAGAATGCCTTGTATCAATTCTTAAGATTGGAATAGCTTGTTCCTTGGAGTATCGATTCATGCATATTTCCATTCAAATATTCATTTCATTGTTCCTAAACAAATGCATCAGATAACTATTCAACTTATTAAATCACTTTTTAATAGGTTCGTAGACAAACAAGTGTTGATAAGATATATTTATTTTTTTCTATAATTCTAGTAAAGAATTTAGGATGCCAATTTTGACAATAATCATAAAAATATTTAAATGTTATGTTAGATAATCTACAATATACAAATTTAATAAGAGTCAATAATGTTAGGCCCTTAACTGGAACAAAAAAATGTCGGTAGTAGTGGTTTCTTAAAATGAATGGTTTATATTATTTTGATTTTAGTATTTTTTTAATGATTTTCCTTATTTACCCTCTATTATATTATTTTCATCTCTTAAATAACCATAAATTCCGTTAGTATAAACTTTAGTAACGGAATATACCGTTAACTATTTATTATTCTTAACATACTCATTAATTTATATAAGAAAGGTCTTAGGTTCGAACTTCATCTCAATTATAGTTGGCATAATTGTTAAACATATATTATGAATATGTTCAAATGTATTAAAATATATATATAATATAAAATTTAACATAAACTTTGATTAAATAATTAGTCCGACTAAATACATAGCATTCAAAGTTGAGCATCAAAGATTATAAATCATAAACTTTAAAAAATATTTGATTTTCTTGAATTTTATTTATATATTAAAAAAAAACAGATTTAGGTTAATGTGTTTTTTTTATAACGTTTAATTAATCTTCTTTTGATTATTTATAACAAAACTCAATATTTCAATTATGTTTTTGCATTATTGGAATGATTTAAGTCATTACGGTATTAATATTTTTTTTTATTTTTATATAATGGTACAATTGTACATTACTTTACAAATATTATACTATTATTTTGTTTATCGGACATTGTTCTTACATCATTGTCAGACCTGTGCGACCTAACTACAAAGTTGTTGATCATAAATACAATTACACATGGACTCTAAAACGGTAGGACCATTTTTCAAATAATTGACAATGTCAACATCCTACTAGCTACAATTGAACAAATTTGCACATCAGAATTGTATCAATGCATGAAAATTTCTAAATAAATTTGTAAGTTAATTTTTATTATATCATTATAACAATATCTATTGTAATCATATTTTTTGAATTATTTATTATCATCCTCTATTGACAGTAATTGTAGCAATTGTCATTGACAAACTCTCAAAACAATTTGTCTCAACAAGGAATGGGAGTTTAAAAAAAAAAATCATTGATTTCATTATTGTTGATGAAAAGTATGTACGTCATTGTCTTCTTTTTACATTATCTTGTAATTAAATATCAAAGTTATAATACAAAACATGTTATATATATTTATTTACCAAGTATTTTATACAAATATAATAAATATTAATATTTTGTTCAATACTTTCACATGATAATCTACAACACACATCTCACAACACATGAAACATGTAGGGGAAAAACTACCACTACTAAATATCAATAGGTGTTTGTAAGATAAAGAGTTCATATTACAACTAAAATCTCAGTCATATACACAACAGGACAAATCTAAAGCTTCATACACCATAATCTCATTGCATGATGAATCCCTCCATGCTGCCACCAGTAACCTGATTGCACATGACACTACCAATAAAAAAAATAAAAAAAGAGAGGACATGTACTGAAGATGAAAATAATGACAATGCTATCCAAAAGAGAATTAAAAAGAATTAGAGAAATTTAAATCAAAAGTGGTATTTATTTAGACTATCGCTTTAAGACTAAGTATTTAAACTAGCGTTATTATAAAGTTGTAAACATTTATTTTAGTGACAATTATAATCAATCACTTTAAATTACCGATTTAAATAAACAAATTCAACATTTATTTACCTATGCATAAACATCTCCTATATAATATTGCATTGATATACTTTAAAATACTTATTTAAAAATAATGATTGGGCATTATCCCAATCGCGCAAAACGCATAAAAAAACTAGTAAAGTAATAAGTGTTGATACATTTGTGAGAAAAAAAATAAAAATTTCTAAACATCTCAAAATAATGAGGACAAATTTTGACTAACTAATAATAAAAATAAATACATTAAATAATAAAACATTGCTTATTAATTATAAAAAATAACTAAATTAATAACAAAAATAATGCTCATCACAGCATTTTGAATATTAACATTTTGAAGCAAATAAGTTGTTACCACCAAACATTCATATTGACTATTTGATCAAGTTAAACAAATCAAAATTGATTGAAAAACTAACTATGTTACCAAACAGGACAAATGCTTACCATTTGTTTTACTTAAAAAGAAAAAGAAAAAAAATTCCCTGGTGTAGTTCTCAGAGAATAACAAATATGACAAAATTGTTTATGTCCTGCCTCCTTTTATTTTGTTGGTTTTCTGCCAGCGGCCAGCGCTGAGTTTATAGATGATAAAGTGAAGATAAATAATATATATTATTAATATACTATTTACTGGCTTGATTAAAAAATAAAAGTATGTAGTGGACCAACTAAATGCAAGAGTGTTGTTTTATTTTTGCTAACGAGAAAATGACTTGAGTGTTGAGAACGACAAGAACAAAGGGTAAGGGGTGAAATTATTGTTGTTGAAGATAAAGGAGAGATAGAGACATTAGAGGTTAATAAATGCCTTGGATAGAGAATATTGTAATTAAGGATGCGTTTCGTTAATGGGATTTAAACATGATGAATGAGAATCAAAATCATATACATTGATAACTTTTGAAAACACAGATATAAGATTTAATTATTTTATATAAGATTATCTTTATCCATGCAATGGGAAAATAACATTTTTTTCCCCTAAATTATATACTTATAGCACTTTTATCCCCTGAATTATTTAAGTGGTTATTTTCTCCCCTGAAATGTTAAATTGATATTTTTACCCTTAAAATATTTTTATTTATTTTTCTTCTCCAACAAATTATGACCACGATTCGGTTCAAACCGAACAGACACTATAGCAACTAAATTGAAATATTTCAATTACAATTTAGAATTGAAACCTGATATTTAGAGTTTATTAAAATCACGAACCGGAACAGCCGGTTCATGTTCCGAACTGAAAAAAGAAATTAAAACATATTTATTGTTGAATTTAGACTATTTAAAAAATAAAAAATAAAAAATAAATAAAAACTTTAAAATAAAGACGGTTCAAAATCGCGAACCGGATCTGGAACTGTCGGTTCACGGTTCAGGATCCAATTTTTTTGATTCATAATTTTAATAAATTGAAATTCAAATATTGGGTTCTTGATCTGAGTCATAACATGAAATTTTCAATTCGATTTCTATAGTGTCCGGTTTAGTTCAAATCAAACTGTGATCATCCCTACGTATAAGCAATAATTTGTTGGAGAAGAAAAATAAATAAAATGTTTACTTTAAGGGTAAAAATGTCAATTTTATATATCAGAGGGAGAAACTGTCACTTTTAGAATAATTGAGGGGGCTAATGTGCTTACATGAACAACTCAGGGGAAAAATGTGCTATAACCATATAATTCAGGGAGAGAAAGTGCCATTTTCCCCCATGCAATTCTCTCACACTTTATAAAATGGATTTCACCCACATCATCAAATTTATAAATTCTTCACTTTTTATTTTACATCCCTGCAAATCTCTATCACTTTTTAAAATAGGTCCCGGCCACTTTCATATTACACTGTAAATATAATAATAAAATAATATTAAAAGAAATAATAATAATTATAAAAAAAATGTGGGCGAGTAACACAAAAGCTGCCACACGACACATAACATAAAATAAATAAAAAATATTTTTCTCTCTCTTGCTATGTCACATGCCATCTTAAATTTGAAGATATAATGACAGTTACAAAATTCATTACCTAATTTAAATTAAATATCATTCCATTAATTCAGTCTTATCTCACTTGATTTAATCGCCTCCTCACTCATATCTCCTTACTTCATTAGAGTCCCCTATTGCATTCGCCTCCTCACTCAATATTTCTCCTCTCACTTCATATTCATAGAGTCCCCTACTGCATTGCCTACATAGTACACTTCATTGCTACTCTAGATCAATTGCCTTAATTTTTTGTTTTTGTATTTTAAAAAGTTTCATTCTGATTATAGAGTCATACATAATCAAACATCAATATTGATAATCATCTCAATTCCACCCTATTACCAAACAATACAAAATATTTTCACCAAAACTCATTCTAATTATTAAGTATTTGATTTTGATTCTCATTTTGATTTTGATTCCCATGGTTCAACCAAATACACCCTAAATATAGTTAAGCAACGACTTAACTTTGTAATATATATATATATATATATATATATATATATATATATATATATATATATATATATATATATATTGTTGACTGCAATATTGCCTTACTGTTGAATATTTCTAGCCTTAGAAGTGAAGTTCACCTTTTGAGTCGTCCTCTATCACCATCAGCATTGTCATTTTTGGGATGAGAAGCCAACACAACCCAAGTGAATTGATTGAGAAAGAGGTTTCAGGACATTTTTATTATGGATTTCATTCTCAGAAATTTTATAATTTTAAAATTATGAGTTTTATTTATATATTTATATAATTTGGAAGCATATATAAGTAAAAATGGTAAAATTATTTATTTTTACTTGGTTTATATGTTGGAAATGAATTAATTCAAACTACTAAATTATTGAACATCATTACTAAACTTTTTTTTTAAGTACTAAAACCTAACTTAAACATCCATGATTTCGTTATAATTAAGAATAATAGATAGAACTAAGAAGAATTACAATAAATAATGACATAAAAATATGATCTGTAGGTACGGTCTCTCAATAGAAGTTCACATACATTGACTTTATGCTCTCAAACTTCATTCTCATACAAGTTTTGATTGATTGATTTAGAGATTTAATATTTTGCTCATTTAGTGTTGTGGGTAATTGATGAAACAAGTGAATTACAAATAAAAAGTAGAAATTTTTGACAATAATCAAACATTAATTTTTATATAAATGTTATTTTAGCTAATATTTATTTCGTTTATTATATTCCCTTCCGATATACACATGATTTTCATTTGTTTTAATAGAGTTCAGGGATTCCAATATTGCCTATATATGTACTTGACGAATGCCGATGTTAAAAGATTACAATTAAAATAAGAACATTTGGGTAAAATAAAACAGGAAAATAATAGATATTCTTATTGTGAAGTGAGATATTTTTTTTGTGTGTGATTCATTGTATATTGTTCTTATTTGTAGTGTAATTGATAACCACACATATAGTAGATATTCCTATTCTGTGTGTGTATATATATATACACACACAAAATACTACTTCCGTCCAATCCCTTCATCAAAATCACAATGCCTCCTTACAAACTATTCCTATTACTTACTATTATACACCTCCTTTCCACTGCCCCTATTTTCAATACTTCAACCACCCTTCCTTTTATTCCTCCAAACCACTTGCAAGTCCCAAATGAAGTAGGAGCTCTTTTAACATGGAAGTCAAGCCTTAACCTCATAAGCCAACCGCTACTCTCATCATGGGTTGTTGGTACTCATCCTTGCAATTGGACTGGTATTACTTGTGATGGTGGCGGAAGTGTTACAAGCCTAAACCTTTCAAGTTATGGGTTAAAAGGTACGCTTCGAAATATGAATTTATCAACTCTGGTCCATTTACAAGTCATTGATCTTTCCAACAATTCTTTCCATGGAAGCATTTCTTTTATCAAAGACATGGTTGGCTTGAAACACATGACAACTCTTCATCTCTATAGAAATCACTTTTCCGATCACATCCCACAAGAAATTGGGTTGTTAACGTCTCTTGTTGATTTGAAATTATCCCAAAATAATTTCACAAGTCAAATCCCCCCTTCAATTGGGAACTTGCAAAATTTAACAACTCTTTATCTATGGGGGAACCAACTTTCAGGCCACATTCCTCAAGAAATTGGGTTGTTAACATCTCTTGTTGATTTGGAATTGAGTACAAATGATCTCACGGGTGAAATCCCTAAATCAATTGGGAACTTGCAAAATTTAACAACTCTTTATCTATGGGGGAACCAACTTTCAAGCCACATTCCTCAAGAAATTGGGTTGTTAACATCTCTTGTTAATTTCGCATTGAATTCAAATAATCTCACTGGCCAAATTCCCACTTCAATTGGAAATTTGCAAAATTTAACAACCCTTTATCTATGGGGGAACAATCTTTCAGGCTATATTCCTCAAGAAATTGGGTTGTTAACATCTCTTGTTGTTTTGGAATTGAGTACTAATGATCTCACAGGTGAAATCCCTAAATCAATTGGGAACGTGCAAAATTTAACAAGTCTTTATCTATGGGGGAATCAACTTTCAGGCCACATTCCTCAAGAAATTGGGTTGTTAACTTCTCTTGTTGATTTGAAATTGAACTCAAATAATCTCAAAGGTCAAATCCCTATTTCAATTGGGAACTTACGAAGTTTGTCAACTCTACATCTATTTGAGAACCAACTTTCAGGTCACATTCCTCAAGAAATTGGATTGTTAACTTCTCTTGTTGATTTGAAATTATCTAAAAATAATTTCACGGGTGAAATCCCTAAATCAATTGGGAACTTTCAAAATTTAACAACTCTTTATCTATGGGGGAACCAACTTTCAGGCCACATTCCTCAAGAAATTGGGTTGTTAACTTCTCTTGTTGATTTGGAATTGAGCTCAAATAATCTCAAAGGTCAAATCCCTATTTCAATTGGGAACTTACGAAGTTTGTCAACTCTACATCTATTTGAGAACCAACTTTCAGGTCACATTCCTCAAGAAATTGGATTGTTAACTTCTCTTGTTGATTTGAAATTATCTAAAAATAATTTCACGGGTGAAATCCCTAAATCAATTGGGAACTTTCAAAATTTAACAACTCTTTATCTATGGGGGAACCAACTTTCAGGCCACATTCCTCAAGAAATTGGGTTGTTAACTTCTCTTGTTGATTTGGAATTGAGCTCAAATAATCTCAAAGGTCAAATCCCTATTTCAATTGGGAACTTACGAAGTTTGTCAACTCTACATCTATTTGAGAACCAACTTTCTCAGGTCACATTCCTCAAGAAATTGGGTTGTTAACTTCTCTTGTTGATTTGAAATTATCTAAAAATAATTTCACGGGTGAAATCCCTAAATCAATTGGGAACTTTCAAAATTTAACAACTCTTTATCTATGGGGGAACCAACTTTCAGGCCACATTCCTCAAGAAATTGGGTTGTTAACTTCTCTTGTTGATTTGGAATTGAGCTCAAATAATCTCAAAGGTCAAATCCCTATTTCAATTGGGAACTTGCAACAGTTAACAACCCTATACCTTAGTAGAAACCAAATTTCAGGTCACATTCCTCAAAACATTGGGTTGTTAACTTCTCTTGTTGATTTCAAAGTGTCTTTCAATAATCTCTCTGGGCAAATCCCAACATCAATTGAGAATTTGCAAAGTTTAACAACCCTATATCTCGGTAGAAACCAACTTTCCGGCTATATTCCTAAAGAAATTGGGTTGTTAACATCTCTTGTTGAGTTGGAATTGAATTTTAATAATCTCACGGGTCAAATCCCAACTTCAATTGGAAACTTGCGAAAGTTAACAACCCTATATCTCGGTGAAAACCAATTTTCAGGTCAAATTCCTCAAGAAATTGGATTGTTAACATCTCTCGTTGAGCTAGATTTGTCTGAAACTGATCTTAGTGGTCAAATTCCTACGACCATTGGAAACTTGCAAATCTTAACACTACTGTATCTCAGGAATAATGAACTGAATGGCAGCATTCCTTCAGAGTTAAATAACCTGACTCTCTTAGCTGAATTTGATTTGTCAGATAATCACCTCACTGGTGTTTTGCCTGGAAATTTGTGCATTGGTAATTCACTGAAACATTTGGCTGTCAAAAACAATGAGTTTATAGGAAAGATTCCCAAAACACTGAAAAATTGCACATCTCTTCTCAGAGTGCATCTTCAAAACAATCAATTCTCAGGAGACATCTTTGAAGATTTCGGAGTTTATCCAGAGCTAAACTACATTAATTTGAGTAACAATTCTTTCTACGGCCATCTATCTTCTAATTGGGGAAATTGCCCAAAACTTGGTGCTTTGAAGATTTCAACGAACAGAATTTCTGGGAAACTCCCACCAAATCTTAGCAATGCTTCTCAAATTGGTTTTATTGATCTCTCATCAAATCAACTAGTTGGAATGATTCCTAAGAGTTTGGAAAAATTGACGTTGTTAACTGTTCTTAAGTTGGATAACAACAAATTTTCTGGCAACATATCACTAGAAATTTGGAAATTACCTCAACTTTTGAACTTCAGCATAGCCGCAAATAATTTTGCTGGATTGCTTCTGGAGGAGTACTTTGAAAGAGGTCAAGTGTTAATAGACTTGAATTTGAGTAAAAATATGTTTGTTGGGGAGATTCCTTATGGTATGGGAAACATGAAATCGCTTGAAAGCCTTGATTTAAGTCACAACATGCTCTCTGGTCAGATACCACTGCAATTTGACGAGCTAACAAGTTTACAAATATTGAACTTATCACACAACAATTTGTCAGGACATATCCCTTCTAGTCTTGGTCAATCTTTGGGTTTGATATGTGTTGATGTATCATACAATCGGTTGGAAGGTCCCATCCCAAACACAAAAGTATTTCAGGAAGCTCCGTATGATGCCTTGAGAAATAATAAAGGTCTTTGCGGGAACCATTCTGGCTTCGAGCCTTGCTCCTCAAACAATCAAAGAGATCATCATCAGAGAAGAAATTTGCTCTTAATCATACTACTAACATTTGGAAGTTTGTCTATGATTATTAGCATTCTTTTCCTATTAATTCTTCGGTCAAGGAGCAATATTAGAGAAAAGTCAAGGGGAATTACTAAAGATGTGTTGACAATATTGAGTTTTGATGGAAAGATGGCATATGAAAGCATCATTGAGGCAACTGGGAACTTTGATTCAATATATTGCATTGGTGAAGGAGGACATGCAAGTGTTTATAGGGCTGAGCTACCAAGTGGCCAAATTGTTGCTATAAAGAGGTTTAATGCAATTGGGCAAGAAGACGAACAATGTGAACTTGAAAGTTTTTCAAATGAGGTTCGTACTTTGACAGAGGTTAGACATCGAAATATTGTGAAACTGTATGGTTTTTGTGCTAGTGAGAGAAATACATTCTTAATTTATGAGTACTTGGAAGGGGGAAGCCTAGCACACATATTAAATGATAGTGAAAAGGCCATGGATTTAGGGTGGACGAAGAGGGTAAATGTGGTTAAAGCTGTGGCTAATGCTTTATCGTATATTCACCATGATTGTTTACCACCAATCGTTCATCGGGATATATCATCAAAGAATGTTTTGTTTGATTCTGAATATGAAGCTCACGTGTCAGCAAGAATATTGAGTCTTCATTCATCAAATTGGACTTCATTTGCAGGAACATTTGGCTATGCAGCTCCAGGTATACCATATTTTTTTTTCACCCAAGCTTAACATAGTTAATCCAGTTTAATTATATGCTCTCTTATTTCTTCTTATTTTATTTCAATTTCTTTTGTTGGTAGAGTTTGCTTATACTATGGAGGTCACAGAAAAATGTGATGTGTATAGCTTCGGAGTACTAGCACTAGAAGTGATTATGGGTAAACATCCAGGTGACCTCATTACATCCATTTTTTCATCCCCAACCTCAACCTCTCATGGAGTACTACTTTTAAAAGATGTGTTGGATTCTCGACTCTCTACTCCAACAAAGTAGGAAGCAGCGGAAGAGTTTATTTTGGTTGCCAAGATAGCAATTGCATGTTTAAATATGAATCCACAATGTCGTCCAAGCATGCGACAGGTTTCTGTGTTGCTAAGCAAAGAAAGACAATATTCCTCCTCAAATTCACTTTCACAGATCACAATAAGCCAATTGTTTGGTCTTGAATTTCCTACTCCCTAGAGTGTAGGGTAGGTTGAAGTCTTATTCATGCCAGGCCGGTATGTATGTGAAGATTATATTTTAGTAAAATGCAAAGCTTTATTTTGTTCATGAGTTAATGCATGCATGCTAGCTATATTTTCTTTCAGAACTTTTCATCATGTCAAAAAGTTTTATAACTCATGCCAACTGAAGTCAACTCACATCATCTTTGGACTTTCCTTCCCAGTGAAAGTCCCCAGATTAAACATCTAGAACGACGGAAAGCTCAGACTACTCATCAAAATACAGATTGGAGGGCGATTGGTGATCTATTCCCGGAGATTGGTCACAACTGCGAGAAGGATGAGTCTACTGCTTTGCGTAGTCAAAATCCATGCGTTGCTGAGGTTAATCTCAAGGAGAATTGCCCGATTGTGACATTATCAAAGATTGATTGGGGAAATTTAGTGAAGGCGGAAGAGAAAGTCTCGCTGATCGGGCGTTTTGTGGGAGAACGTCCGTCCATGGACTCTCTTAGGACTAACTTGCGAACTGTGCTGCGTCTAGATGGGGATTTACAGGTGGGATCATTGAATCAAAGAAATATATTGTTGCGATTCTCATCGGAAAGTGATTGTAGAAGAACCTGGATGCGAAATCAAATCGCAATCGGAAATGGCCGGTTGTGGCTCTCGCGATGGAAGCCGGAGCAAAATATTAATCCAAGTCGAGATTCTCCCTTCTCCCTGGTATGGTTTCAATTGCCTCTACTGCCTGTGCATTTGTTTGAATTTGAGGTTTTGTCCCGCATATGTAAGCCAATCGGAAAACTGGTTGAGCTTGACTCAGCAACAATTAGGCGATCTAGGCCAAGTATAGCAAGGGTTAGAATAGAAATTGATGCATCTAAACCTACTATTGATTGTTTATTGATTGAATATGTGGGTGAAGGAGGAGGTGTGGAAGGTTTTTGGCAGAAATTTGTGGCGGAGAGGATGCCAATCTTCTGTTCTACTTGTGGGCGGTTTGGCCACTCACAGAAGGAATGTAGACGAAGGGGAGGGGCTGAGATTCGGCCAGTGAGGTTGGGGAGAGATGTGGTAGAAACTGTAGATAAAGATGACAGAGCACATAAATGCCCAGAAACTGTTCGACAAATTGTCGAGGAGGGTCTGGAATCAGGGAAAGAAACAAATGCTATTAAAAAGAGAAATGTTGACATGGTAATCGAGACTGCCAGGAAAATTGAGCTAAGTGCCTTGAAAAGAGATGAGGGCAAACTGGAAACATTTGTGCAATCTGCAGCTAAGGCAAAGATGGACCAACTTGAAGCTGATTTGGCTACTAAGGCTGATGAAATAATAATGGAGACAGTCATGGGGCTGGCTGATGAAATAGCAGACAAGGTCTTAAAAGAAGATGATATAGATAAGCCAAAAGCCATGGCTGGGGAGGAAGTCTCGAAGAACAAATTGACTGAATTATCTATGAAAGATCTATGTAAAGTCATAGAAACTCTAAGCTCAAGCAAAAGAAAATCAAGTCGGAAAAAAGAGGTCGCGGAGAAGGTGGTTGAGGGCGGTATAGAGGTGGTCGGGGAGGAGGCTGAGCTGGTGGAAGAGGCAGCACTGAAGCTGTCTCGGCAGGGTAGAGGGGAGAAACCCAAGCTTGAATCTTTGAACAAGGGGAAGGCGGAGTTAAGTGCCAGCCCAACACTAAATGTGACTGGAAATCAAAAGGAAAAAGAGAGTGGGGATTTGGGCTTGATTACTAAGCCTGTAAGGGATGATAGGGAGCATCGATCATTTGTGGTTAATAAGGAGGCTTGGGAAGAAGCTAAGCAGGATATATTTACATATATGTCAAAAGTAAAGAAGGAAATGGGGCTGCAAGAATTTGAGAAAAGAAAAGGGGAAATTGTACAAAGAACAAAGGACTTATACTTAAATAAACTCAAAGGTTTAGCAAAAAATAGAGGGGTTGGTTTTCTTGATGAATCTGCTATGGATGCTTAATGATACTAGATTGCTCTAAGATATTGAGAGCTGACCTGAGCAGTTCTTTGATGTCTAGTTTGAGCAGATGGCTCTTTTGGTGGGGGAATAAGGAGGGCCACTTACCTTGTGGTCTATTTTCAACAGAGATGATAGAACAGCTTCAACAGATCTGCAGCTTCTCTAGCAGAGACTAAAGTGGTTTGTGGATCAGTGCAACACCTTAAGTTAGGTGATGATGTCTCAAGGTTGAGGAATGCTTGAACAATGCTTGATTTAAGTCAGGGAATTTGATGAATGATGAACTAACATAGAATGGCAGCAGAAAAGCTGGATGAGGCAGTTTGGTTTATTTTGTGTTGCAATTCGAAGCTCTTGTAGTGGAGAATTTACAGCCACCTGGGGCTGATCCTATACTGGGAAATGATGCCTCAGGTTTTGATGATGCAATAAGTTGAGGACTAGAATAAAAGATGAACTGTTAGCAGAATGATGAATTTATTTGGAGGGCTAAACATGGAGATCTGATGATGGATGTTCGGTGGACCATTTGGCTTGGGCTCTTTTAATTAGTGGATTGGGCCAAAGAATTTGTGCCATGGGCCTGGCGTCTTGGGCTTTTCACTTTGATTAAATGATGAAGGCCTTATTCGGCACGGCCTTTTGGAAGCTGGAGGGCTTGGGCTGAATGGGTCAGCTTGGGGGATTAAAAGGCTTAAGGCATTGGTGAAGAGAAAGGCCGAATGGGCCTTGTCTAGTCTAGCCCAAGTTGGGCCTTATCTTATCTAAACTAGTTTTTCTTGTAGGGCTTCTAGCCCCTTTGTCATTTAGGCTACTATTGGGCCCTTGTTAGTTTAGACTAGTATACTTAGTCTTGTTTGCCTAAGACCTTTTGGTCCTTGTGAATGTAAGGCTTTTGCCTCTTTGATAGCCATAGGTCACTTTTGGACCTATGGCGTCTATTGTAAGGCCTTGTGCCTCTTTTGGTGTGGAATAAAGTTCTTGATTCGTTAAAAAAAAAAAAAAAAAAAAAAAAAGTTTTATTCATGCCAGGCCTTGGATTCTTTGCTTGGAATTGAATACAACTAACATAGATCAGATCCAGGTAATTTGTAACAGACACTATTATCACACCAGACTAGCTAGGGTTTCAAACTTCAATAATTGTGTGCATTATCCTAATCTGTTTAGGCAATCAAACAATGGCAGTCAATAGTGATGAAGTACAGAAGCTAGCTTAGCTTGCTGATGGATATGATGCACAGAATTATGCATGCATGCATCACCAAATCATTGTCTTTTCACCATTGATATAGTATATGTCTTGTTGAATTGGAGAAGTATCAGTACGTACGGACTCTCAACACTATGACCTCAATCAAGAAATTCTGTTTGAGATCTCAAGATAACTAGTACTCTCGATCTAACAAGTAAGCTAGTTAGTACATTTCCTTGATTATATATACAAACTTTTCTTGGTGCATTAGAATGAAGCTTACGTGTCTGCACCATTTTTTCTCCCAAGCTTAACATATATAGTTAATCCAGTTTACATATATGCTCTCTTCTTTCTTCTTATTTTCTTCCAATTTCTTTTGTTTTTTGGTAGAGTTCACTTATACTATGGAGATTACCGAAAAATGTGATGTGTATAGTTTTGGAGGTGCTAGCACTAGAAGTTGATGTGATCTGATCTGTTCTGCTTCACCCAATTCAAGAATCTCTCTCTACTATATATGATTGTAAGTTAGTTTCTTATAAGGTTTTCCATCTTATTCTTATCTATATATCTTCAATATCTTACTCCCTGATCAAGCTGTGTTCAAATTAGTCTTCTTTCCTACTCTCAGAAGCCTTTTTCTGGGATTATGAATGTTCCAATTCGATCTGCAAAAACCACACCAACGCTTCTCATGCATGCATGCCTTGGATTCATTCTTAGCTTGGAATAGATCAGATCCAGGTTAGTAACACTATGAGTGTGTGTGTGTTTTACCTTTACTAGTTATAACCAAAAAGGCGTTTTTCTTTAATGAGAATTTGATATCATGATACATGTATTGTTCGATAGGAGAAGCATTCTTTTTGAAGTCAACAATTATGGCATCAACAAATTTTGATCGGTGGCATACACATTATTTATCACATTCTAACAAGTAAGCTTGTTGTGTATATATACATAATATTTTTCACAACATATTATGTTCGCTTCAAATTTCATCAATAATCTAATATGTGCAGGCAATCAACTCGGTGATGAATAAGTGGAGAAGCTAGCTTACGATTCTTGTTGCTTTCGCGCACAAATTTTGCTCCTCCGGTTTTGGAGGAAGGTGTCTTCGGGGAGGCTTAAATTTAACTGTGATAGATGTTTCTTTTTCGTTGTATGGTGGTGTTGGGGGTGCTTGCCTTCTTGATTCTGCAAAGAAAGGCAATATTATTCCTCTAATTTACTTTCACAGATCACAATAAGCCAATTGTTTGGTCTTGAATTTCCTACTCCCTAGAGGGTAGTAGGAAATGTCAGGGTATGTATGTGAAGAGTTTAGTACTATAAATTAATTTTGATGTAGAGCTAGCGAGCAGCTTTAATTATATTTATTATATATTGTGGTAGATAGCTTCAAATTTCTTCAGTATTACTAGTTAATACATGATCCTAAAACTTGCAACTAACAGGTCCACACCAGCCAAACTGAAGGAGTTTAATAATCTTGACACACACAACACAGTGACACAAAAAGGTGGTATGAATATATACATGCATTTGCTAGAATGTTACAATAGAAAAGCTTTTCTGATCTTCTTTAATGGGAGTTTGAGACTTGTTGTTAACAGTACACTTGATGATATCATATATTTGTATGTGTCTTGTTCAATTGGATCAAGAAGCAACAGTTCCATTGCCAACAACTATGACATCAAGAACTTACATTTGAAATCTCTGCCTGGTTATCTCTCACTCTTTAACAAGTAAGCCATTTAATTTGCTTTTGAATATACGAATTAAATTGATCGACTGAACGTACAATTTAACTATGTATGTATTGTACCATATATATTTAGCTAGTGAGTTAGAATATGTGCATAATGCATAATGTGTTATAATAACTTATTGTGTGATTCACAATATAATATAATTACTTTTCTTGTGTCATGACTAATCTTTGCAGGCAAGGCAATCAACCCTTCATGCCAGTGATGAAGTAGAGAAGCTTTTGCTCTGTTTTAGAGGTAATTAATTAGCACTCACTATAAATTAATTAAGACTAAACATTATTTCAGCCATGCATGCAGCGCAGCATATATATCCTAAATTAAATTTGCAAACTTAGCTTCTTCAATATTGCTAATCTAATAATATATATATAATCAACTTGCTACAGTAGGTCTCAGTATGGAACATGTCTTGTTCAATTGGATCAGAGAAGCATTGTCAACAACAATGGCATCAAGAAATCATTGTTTGAGATCTCAAAAAATATTTTCATTCTCATCGCTAAAAGGTAAAAACTAAGCCAGTTTCGTTTCATTTGAGTATATATACACAAATATACTTAACTACATACCACATTTACCTAATAGCTGTTAGAATTATGCATGTAATACCTTAGGCATCGGTGAACAACATGGACTTAGATTACATAGAAGCACGCAATGCAAGGATTGCAAGCTACATAAGTCAAAGGTTTTAGCAACACCATACCTGATTGAGAAAGTGCAGCAGAAGTTAACTTCGTTAAGTTGCATCGGTTCAGCAGATTGAACTTGCAGCATCATATGATCGATATGATCTCCGGCCTGTGCTGCTGTCTTGAGGTCTCATTCTTAATGTGAAAATGTTGTACCTTTGCAATCCATAGAATTGAATGTTCTTTTTGATAATCCTGTTTCCCGTTTCGACAAACAGTATGCATCTTCAATTCTTTTTTACTTATTATAATGTTGATGATGATTTATTGTTCCAATAATCACTTGAAGTCATTGGCATTCAACTTACTGAAATGCATGTACAATCACTAATGATTATGGCCCAATTTGGTAAAAACTTGGCCTATAGGCCAATTTTGGTTTTTTTTTACCACTATTAATTGTTTGATTTAGTTAAAATATCAATATGAGTGTTTGGTTAATCAGCTTTTTGCAACTCCAAAATGCTAAAATTCAAAAAGCTACTACAAGCAACTTTTTCAATTAGCTTTTTTAGAAAAGAAATTATATCAAACCGCTATCATCTAATTTACCAAATATTTTTCTACAACAGCTAATCTTATCAACTAGTTATACCCTCTAATTAACACAATCAGCTATCAGCTAACAACCATTTACCAACCAGGGCCAATATATACATATCAACAAAATAACTACATAACTCCATCTACTCATTTACAAATAAAAGAAAGCAAGTAGAAAATGTAATATTAGTTGCTAATGGGATGGAGTCATCAATGCTTAGTTGCTGGCCGGATCATAAATTATGATTAAGGCTTGAGATAAAAGTCTACTCTTCAAAGTTTGGCCCAACTTTCCATATTGCACTAGCTTTAAGGGTGTGTTTGGAAACCTGAAAAATGAGTTCTGAAAATCATTTTTGATATATTATTGCTATTTTTTTATTATATTTAAAATTAATATTATATTATTATATATTATTATACATGTTGTAATATTCTAAATAAAATAATTAAAATGTTTAATTATACAATTCTACTCATTTTCCAGAAAATGAACCAAACACACAAAAACAGTTTTCCAGAATGCAACCAAACACAGGAAAGGAAAATGTTTTCTGGAAAATGACTAATTTTCCAGAAAACATTTTCCAGAAGTCATTTTCCTGCTTTCCAAACGGACCCTAAGAGCAACACCATGCCACGATTTCATCAATAATTAAAAGTGAGTTTTTTTTTTTCTTTTTAAGTATTACTAACTCTGTTACAATGCAGTATCTGTTCATAACTACATAGGTTGAGTAAGTAGTTAAAAGTGAGTTTTTTATGCACTCATAGAAAAATACTATTCCGTACATTTTAACTAAAAAAAAATGTATCATAGTCTCACACAACATTGACTTGTTTTTAATATGATCTCAAAATAAGAATTTAACGAGGTCTATAATCATTTCTTGAATTTCATTGCATGAAATGCAAAGTCATATGATCTTCTTGAGTTTTTTGCACTTTTGGTCCCACGACTATAATGGCACTAGCAGAATTGATCTACGACTTTTGAACCTTGCAATTTTAGTCCACGACTATTGATTTTTTTTGCAAAAATGGTCCTTCCGGCCACTTTTCCGTCAAAATTCCACCGAAATTTTTTTTATCCATTTTTAACGGGGCTAAAATTGACATTTTACTTATCTCAAAAAATAAAAGAAAAAAATTGACATTTAACTACATACAATATTACTGATTTACTGGGCTACATACTACTGCCCCAGGCGGCGGAGTTCCTGGAGCAGGTAGGGCTGTCAGTAAGCGGCGGAGCGGCCCTGGCGTTCCCTGGGCTAGTTGGGTTATCCGGCAGCAGCATTGGATGCGGAGCCAGCACGCCTGCGGGATCATCCGAAGACATCGAAAAAGCTTCGTTGTATAGATTTTCGGCTAGAGAAGCGGCGGAGATTCTCAAATGCAATCGCCTTTACCTTTCCGTTTTATGTATTTCCTTTATATTTTGAGATAAGTAAAATGTCAATTTTAGCCTTGTTAAAAATGGATATAAAAAAAAAAAATCCGGTGGAATTTTGACGGAAAAGTGGCCGGAAGGACCATTTTTGCAAAAAAATCAATAGTCGAGGACTAAAATTGCAAGGTTCAAAAGTCGTGGATCAATTCTGCTAGTGCAACTATAGTCGTGGGACCAAAAGTGCAAAAAACTCTGATCTTTTTTGTAAAAACAAGAATATACAACAACAACAACAACAACAACAACAACAGCAAAAAGAAAGACTTAAGACTATACAACACAAGCCATTCACAAATAAAAGAATCACAAGAATAAAGAGTCATGGATGCCTCAACCTCTAACCTTTAACATCTTCTCTTCTTCCCAAATTTATCCTCTCTAGCGCCCCCATAATGAAGCATCCTTCATCAACAACGAAATACGAAAGCATACAACAAATTAGATTGCGTTCAAGTTTTGAATCAGAACCATGCATTACAAGATCAAAAGGCGGGTGGGGCAGCATGGAGCAACAATACCTCTTCTGTCATCAATCGGCTCATTCTGCTGTCAGTTCCAATATCTGTAACAACTTCCTCATTTTCAATCTCTGCATCAGTGTAGGTGAGAGCCCGCTGCAGCTTCCTAGCTGAGAATACCTCAACCTCTACCATATAAGTTGCTGTCACTGGCCTGTGATCAGAAAGTTGAAGCTCAGATCTCCTATAGCTTAGTAGGCGCATTCCCTTCCCGTATGAAAGGATTCGGTCACACCTGAGAAAGAGAAAAACATAATGTCATATGGAAAAATTTTAACAAGTTACACATAAAGCAATGAGGGGATTTTATTGAAGTGCAAATATGGAAGATCTGATGCATTTTTATTTCCGTTTTTTTATAAGTAATAGATACTTACCATGCTGGAGTTCGTCTCCCAGCTCTTGGATCCTCTCTAATAGAGGATGATAAATAAGTAGCAAAAAGGGATATTTTTGTAATTCAAAAAGGGTGCTTAGTTTCGGTTATAACCGTCTTCCACTTTGACCATCTATATAAGGTGGCCAGCTATCTCTTCATGCATACACAATAATATACAGTTTTCTGTTCCCATTCTGTTTCGTTTTCTCTCTGCTTCAAATCGTAAGATGGTATCAGAGCAGCGGTGGAGGTCCTACGCCGCCGCTGCCTCCGGTGAGGCTAGTCAAGGAGAACAGACGGGAGCACCGGTGATCGGATCGCCGGCTCTCACGACTCCTACCTCGAACACGCAACAGGTCCCTCCGTCGCAGACACAAAGAAGCCAGGCGATGGAGGATCTAAACAATCCTCTATACTTCAGTCCAGCTGAGAATCCGAATGATGTGCTTGTGAGTCCTCCGCTCATAGGTAGTTCGAATTACACCTCTTGGTGTATATCCATGAAGATCGCCCTTGAAGTGAAGAATAAATGGGGCATTGTTGAAAGCAGTGTTGCAACACCTAACAGAGAGCATGTCCAGTACCAGGCATGGAGACGATGCAATTTGATGGTGTGCTCCTGGATCTTCAAGGCAGTACATCCATCTATTGCTCAAAGTTTGATGCATCTTGACAAAGCAGGCGAAGTGTGGGAGGATCTGAGGAGGAGGTTCGCTCAGTGCGATGCTCAAAGGATCTCAGCCCTCCAAAGTGAGATCTATGGATTGAAACAAAACCCCATGACAGTCAGTGAGTATTACACGAAGTGCCGGACAATGTGGGAGGAGATGAACACCTTGAGACCTCTTCCGGCTTGCAGATGTGATTCACGAAGTGCCTGTGGTCTCATCGAGCAAATTCGAAAGGAACGCGATGTTGATCAGCTCATCCGGTTTCTGCAAGGTTTAAATGACGACTATGGAAGCCTGAAATCAAATATCCTTGTACTGGATCCCTTACCTGAGGTATACAAGGTCTATGTCATGGCCAAGGTTGCAGTAGGCGCTAGGCGCTAGTCGGGCGGCCGGGCAGCGCCTAGCGCCTAGGCGGTCTAGGCGGCGCCTAGGCGGATTCTAGGCGGGGCTAGGCGGGCACCAAAAAAATTAAAAAAAATAGTGACAGACTTGTAGTTCGACAATTATAATGAGGTTGTTTTCAACGTTCACTCAAATAACACATCTAAATAAATGAAATAATGATAATTTATAAGTCATAATGTCATAATAATATTAAAATCAATAATTAATGAAAGACGACATCGGTCAAAATCAGACAAAATCGGTCAAAAACGGTCAAAATCGGACGAAATCGGTCGACTCGGCCGAGTTGGCCGAGTTGACCGACTCGGCCGAGTTTGACCGCCTAGGCCGCCTAGCGGCCGCCCAGGCCGCCTAGCGGCCGCCCAGGCCGCCTAGCGGCCGCCCAGGCCGCCTAGGCGGCCGCCTAGGCGGCCGCCTAGGCGGCCGACCGAGTTTTGGCCGCCTATAGGCCAAAACTCCAAGGTAAGTGGCCGCCTAGCGCCTAGGCGGGCGCCTAGGCGGCTAGGCGGCCGAGTTTTACATCACTGGTCATGGCTGAGAAGTTGGAAAGGCAGATCAATGCAGCAAACTCGAGTTCAATGGATTTCAGTCAGGCAAATGTCGTCCAGAGTCCTCAAACATCCACAGATGACTTAATTGCAGTAGCAAGCACATATAATGGCAGGAAATTCACAAGCAATGGAGGTGGTAACAAGCCAAAGTGCACTTTCTGTGGAATGAATGGACACACTATCGACAAATGCTACAAAAAGCATGGCTATCCCCCGAGGTGGGTACAAGGTTACAAATCTAAGGCTAGACAACAGAGTTCTACATCCACTGTGAGTAACACTTCTGAATTGGGAGTCACGACTGATCAGTTTCAAAAGCTCATGATGGCAGTCCAGAATCAGCTATGTCAATCAGGTTCTAGCACTTCAGCTGCTGTGACTTTGATTCCAAAATTTGATGAAAGTCATGAAGGCAAGTCTCTCATCTCTCACATTAATTTCCTATCATTATGCAACTACTCTTGGATACTTGATTCTGGTGCTACAGATCACATTGCTTGCTCTATTGATTTTTTTGATGAATATTATGCTGTTGAGGGAGATGAGGTCAGTCTACCTGATGGGAAAAAGATTATGGTTAAGCACAGAGGCAATGTGAGACTAGGCCGAGACCTATTGTTAAAGGATGTGATGCATATCCTAACCTTTCACTTCAACTTAATCTCAGTAAGCAAGTTAGTTAAAGATGCAGATTATAACTTGTGTTTTTCTCCTGAGCAGTGCATGATACAGAAACCAAGTGGGATGATGATTGGTTTGGCTAAACAAGAAAAGGGGCTTTATGTGATGATGAAGAAGCCATTGCAGTCTGAAATTAGTTCTAATACCATTGTTTCACAATGTAATAGAGTTGATGTTTGGCATCAACGTCTAGGACATTTCCCTATGAATAAACTGCATCTCCTTAAAGATGTTCCAAAACTTTCCACTTCCACCAAAGCTTGTGATATTTGTCATTTGGCCAAACACAAACGATCTCCATTCCCCCTAAGTACTTCATCATCCATTGCCTGTTTCGATTTAATTCATGCTGATATATGGGGGCCTTTTCCTGTTGCTTCTATGAAGGGAGAAAAATATTTCTTAACTCTTGTTGATGATCATTCAAGGTACACTTGGTTACACTTGATGAAAAGAAAATCAGAAACACAGGAATTGTTGAAAAGATTTCACAACTTTGTTTCCACACAGTTTCGAGTTTTGATCAAAGTGATACGAAGTGATAATGGCAACGAATTTGATATGAAGGATTTCTATGCAAGCAAGGGGATTATTCATCAAAGATCATGTGTTAATACACCCCAACAAAATGCAGTGGTGGAAAGGAAGCATCAACATGTGCTTAACGTGGCAAGATCACTTCGATTTCAAGCTAATTTGCCCCTAGATTTCTGGGGTTATTGTGTTATGCATGCTGTGTTCTTGATTAATCGTCTCCCTTCACAAGTTCTCCATGGAGCCAGTCCATATCTTAGACTGCATGGTCAAGAACCAAACCTTGCCACACTCAAAGTTTTTGGATGCCTATGTTTTGCATCAACACTGCCTCACACAAGAAATAAAATGGAGCCCAGGGGTCGAAAATGCATCTTCATAGGGATGCCTGCCAACATTAAAGGGTATATTCTCTATGATCTTCTTGATAAATCGGTGTTCATATCCCGTGATGTGGTCTTTTATGAGCTACAATTTCCCTTGTCTGAGCATGTTATGAGCCATGATGAATTATTTAATCCTCCTCTGCCCAACATTCCTGCTACAATGATGATGGATTATGAAGAAGAAGATAGTGGTAACAACTTACTGCCTAGAAGTGCTGGGCAGACCACACACATCTCACATGAGATGTCCAGCAGCCAGCCGCACCCCTTATCTACTCCCAGTGCCAACCTAGAGTCTGCTCCAAACAGCATGCAAGACAATACTCAGACTCTTAACAGTACGCAAGATAGTCCATCCACAGAAGAAGATAATGTGATTGAAGAAGTGATGAATCATGTTTCCCCTCGCCGGTCTAGCAGAAATAGACAATTGCCGGCCAAGCTGCATGATTACTACTGTGACTCAGTAGTAAAACAGAGAATTTCCCCTCATCCCTTGTCCAAAATCATCTCCTACGACAACCTATCACCTTCACACAAAGCTCTCACTATGGCTGTTACATCCATTACCGAGCCTCGAACATATAATCAAGCCATCAAAATGGACTGTTGGAAGGATGCTATGCAAACCGAGATCATGGCTCTCCAGGCTAACAATACTTGGCAGATTACAGATCTTCCTACAGGCAAGATTCCCATCGGCTGCAAGTGGATATACAAAGTTAAGCTCAGGGCAGACGGGTCAGTGGAACGTTACAAAGCTAGGTTAGTGGCTAAGGGCTACACACAACAGCCGGGAGTTGATTACACAGAGACGTTCTCTCCCGTAGCTCGATTAACCACTATCTGATCCTTCCTAGCAGTGGCTGTTTCCAAAGGCTGGCATATCCATCAAATGGACATCAATAATGCCTTTCTTCGTGGTGATCTTGACGAAGAAGTGTACATGCTCCTACCCCCGGGCTTCCAAACAGCTAAACCAAATCAAGTATGCAGGCTCACCCGATCTCTTTATGGCTTGAAGCAAGCGAGCAGGCAATGGAATGCAAAATTAACCACGGCCCTCTCAAGTGTTGGTTTTAGGCAATCAAGTGCTGATCCATCCTTGTTTACAAAGGGCAGTGCTGACAGATTTATCACCTTACTTGTTTACGTTGATGACATTATTGTGGCAAGTAGCAATATGGCCTTAATACAGGAACTCAAGGACATGTTGGATGCCAAATTCAAGATCAAAGATCTCGGAGTTCTGGGATATTTCCTTGGCATCGAAGCTAAGTTAAACGATGATGGCCTGAACCTTTGTCAGAGGAAGTATGCTCTCGACATTCTCAGTGATACTGGCTTCACAGAATGCAAACCTGCTCCTACCCCAATGGTTCCAGGCTCTAATCTATCACAAGACACTGGCAAGCTTTTGGAGGATCCAAGTGGCTATCGTAGGATGGTTGGGCGCCTTCTGTATTTGACAGCAACTCGGCCTGATATCGCCTATGCCATTCATCACCTCAGTCAATTTGTGAGCAGTCCTACAGATATGCACATGGTTGCTACCCATCGTGTGCTTAGATATATAAAAGGGACCCTTGGACAAGGCCTCCTATATCCTGCAAACAGCACTCTCACCCTAAAGGCCTTCTCGGACTCAGATTGGGCGTCATGCCCTGAAACTCGCAGGTCAGTCACGGGTTTCTGCGTTTTTCTTGGGGAGTCCCTAGTGTCATGGCGTGCAAAGAAGCAGGCTACGGTGTCCAAGTCATCTACCGAAGCTGAATACCGTGCATTAGCTTCCACAGCATGCGAATTACAATGGATCAAATTCCTTCTCCAAGACCTTCTTGTTGAGGTCACTGCTCCTGCCATCATTTTTTGCGATAACAAATCTGCCATAGCTATTTCTGAGAACTCCGTCTTTCACGAACGGACTAAGCACATCGAAATTGATTGTCATGTGGTAAGGGAAAGAGTGGTTCAAGGCTTGATCAAACTTCTACCTGTTTCTTCGCTCAATCAGATTGCAGATGGCATGACGAAACCACTAGCCACTCAGATGTTTGCTACGTTTGTATCTAAGCTGGGAGTTCAGAATCTCCACTCTCCAGCTTACGGGGGGGTAATAGAGGATGATAAATAAGTAGCAAAAAGGGATATTTTTGTAATTCAAAAAGGGTGCTTAGTTTCGGTTATAACCGTCTTCCACTTTGACCATCTATATAAGGTGGCCAGCTATCTCTTCATGCATACACAATAATATACAGTTTTCTGTTCCCATTCTGTTTCGTTTTCTCTCTGCTTCAAATCGTAAGACTCTCCATGGTATTTATCTGAGTTTATCTCATACTTATACGTTGGTGGAAATTTTAGAATACCTTCAGACCATCCGTCAAAGGCACGCCCTTTCTTGAACTCTCTGCTGAGCTATAAAAGTATATAACATGCTAGAAGTGGAAATATGAGAGTTCTATCTCCTCTAATCCTAAGGCACAACAAATGTTAAACTTCATCAAGTCATAAAACAAATACATCCATATGAATTCTTTGGTTGCCTCTCCTAGAACATTGATTATCTAGCTAGAAGTTGTATCAAAGTGTAAATGAGGAATATATTCATATTTACCTGATCGTTTTCAATTAACTTTGGCCAATCTTTTTTGGATATTAGCTCCCGTGTTTTTTCATATGATAAATTGATACGATAATTTAAATCACCAAGCCAGATTATTCTCCTGCAACAATATAAGCTTTTTGTTAATTTTAAGAAAATGGAGGAAAAAGAAAAGACAGTTGAGTCAATTTGGAATTAATAACTCAAATAACCCATAAAGGGTTGGATATAGCTTTACAAGTCTCTCTTCTTCATCCAATTACAAGAAAGCTGGAAGTTAGAGTTGGATATAGCTTTACAAGTCTCTCTTTTTTTTTTTTTTTTCTTTTTTATGTGGAAAAGACATATGGTCTACTAAGCAACTAAAAGAGGCAAAGCACAAAAACATATTAAATTTCCACTAAAAAACAAAATCAAGGATTACAATTGAGGAATCAAAAGGTAGGTAGTAACCTCATCCAAGATGGCAAGACATTCACACTTGTAACTACAAGACCACGATTTCAAATTCTTACCCCCTTGGTTTGAGTCGATCAACTATGGATAACCTAGGCTGATTTGCTTCATTGTGGTCCTTTGCTGACTAAGTTCACAAGGCGAAAAGGATTGTGGAATTTCCCTTGTCATCCCAAAAAAAGGTAGGTAGTTAGTTTCTTTCTTTTCCTTGAACAACTATATTATTCCATTAAATTCCCTGATTAATTCAACTTATGCATTCCTATAGTCCATCAGCTGAATCTACAGTAGCTTTTCAACATAACTTACATACCAAAAAAATTAATCACACAGCTTTATGAACAAAATTAAGCTTATTACCATTCGGTGCTTCCCTTTCAACTTCACCGCCTCTCGCATCCTTAAACCGCGACTGCCTTGGCCACTCACAGACATCTAAATTAAACTCCAAATATACCAAGTCAGAGTGACTATATAACAATAATCTTTATTTTTGAGGAGAGCAATAATCTTTATTAAAGAAAGAAACAAAAAAAAAAAAGTTAGGCAACCTTGGTCGCGATCGGAATCGGATTTGGAGTCGGAGTCGGGGTCTGATTGAGTATCGCATTGGAATCGGAATAGAAAAACCGTTTGGTAAATTAGATTTTAGCTGATTACATGAAAAATGATTTTTAAATGTATAATTTATTTAATTAAAAAATTGTTTGAATTTTAGTATTTTAGAGCAATAAATTATTACAAAAATCTGATTAACCAAACACTCATATTGATTGTTTAATCAAGTCAAATAAGTAATAGTGATTAAATAAAACAAACATAACTGATAAACTAAATATATTAGCAAATAGGACTATCCTCAATCCTAATGGCGATTTCCATTATCCATGATAGCTATAGAGCGACCAATAAGCATTAGTCCTTAAAGGAAAAAAAAAAAAAAAACATTCTTTGAAATATTGGTGCTTTTCTGTTCCAAACTCAATAGAGCAACCAATGACAAATATTTATGAAAAATATTACTTGAACTCTTAAAATTTACTTTCATTTTTTACTTCTTCACACAAATTTTTTATGTAAATATATTTATTGAGACCATAAAATAAAGATAATATGTCAATATTTGTCACGTCAGGAAGTAAAATTGACGAAATGAAGTTTGGAAGGTTATGGAGTAGAACTCATTATTTATATTCTAAACCATTAATATTTTAACCATGTTTTACCTATTGATAAATTCAAAAATACTATTGATTCACTAGTTTAAGATAATTTAGAATCGTCTCGCATAAAATGGTAAATAATGAAAAAGGGTAGCATTTTAAAGGAAATGGCATGTGGTTAACTGATTGTTGTATATACACGTGATATTTGTTTCTTGAGAATAAAAAAGAAGATTTTGAGAATTTATTTATTTATTTATAGATGATAGGACGTACAAAAACAAAACTGTCACAATTAAATTCCCTAGCTAAGCATTGGCACCATCCATCAATGCAAGTTGGTGGATCATAAACCCGTACGAGTTTAGCTCAATGGTTTAGTGGACAGTATTCGAGGTAAGAAATCAAAGTTCGAATTTCGGCGGTGGCAGTGTGAGAATTATGTCCAAAGTAGGTAGATAAGTAGATTCTTTGTGCGCATCGACATTTGACCATGCCTACTAATTCATTGAATCACCGTGTGTAGAGGACTTTAATTATCTATTCAGATAATTTATGTTTTCCAACTACCAAAAAGGACATATTGTACATATTGTCTGAATAGACAATATGTCCTTTTTGGTAGTTGGAAATCATCACTAGGTAGAGGCGTTAAAACAATGTTGAAGTTTTTTTTACTGATTTGGGACTCAATTTTTGGAAGACTTCCCCATGCAACATCAAAATTTTTGTCAGACAAAGTAACTGCTTTTGTACATTAATTTTGCTCACTGCTTTTGTGCTTTAATTTTTTACTGATGTGGTTTTTTTTTAAATTACTTTTGTACTTTAATTTTGCTCACTGCTTATTAAATTAATATACAGTGAGAAATTCCTCACCGATTTGAGAAGTTGCCGTTGCTGCAACTATTCCGTTTGCAATTCCGTTTTGCTGCCAACTTTTTATTAACTTTGTTTTACAATTCCAGTAGAAATTTTTAGGAATAAGGGTCAAATAAGCCATCGAACTACACAAGATAATGCAATTAGGCCACTGAATCTAAAAATCAACAATCGGGTCCCTAAACTAACCAATTTCAAACAAATCTTCCAATTTGTAGGTTTCTAACAGGTTAACAGGTCATCCTCCCAAATTAATTGTTTTTTAAAAAATAAAATTTAAAAATTAATTTAAAAAAAAAAAAAAAACGGCCGGAGACGAAGAAACTTCTTCGTCTCCGGCCAGTTTCTTCGTCTCCCCGGCCGGAGACGAAGAAACTCTTCGTCTCCGGCAATGGAGACGAAGAGTTTCTTCGTCTCCGGCAATGGAGACGAAGAGTTTCTTTGTCTCCAGCCATGGAGAAGAAGAAACTCTTCGTCTCCATGGCCGGAGACGAAGAGACGAAGAAACTGGCCGGAGAGGAAGAAGTTTCTTCGTCTCCGGCCGTTTCTGTTTTTTTTTTTTTTTTTTAATTATTATTTTAATTTTAAAATTTTATTTTTTAAAAAATAATTAATTTGGTTGTTGACCTGTTAGAAACCTTCAAGTTAGATGAATTGTTAGGAATTTGTTAGTTTAGGGACTCAATTGTTGGTTTTTTGGGTTCAGTGGCCTAATTGTATTATCATGTGCAGTTCGATGGCCTATTTGACCCTTATTCCAAATTTTTATTTGCAATTCCAGTATGTTTTACTATTTTTTTAGTATAATTATAAATTTATAAATAAAATAGATAAAGAAATAATTAAAATATAGTGAGTAAAATGGTGAGTGCATAAAAAATTGAGAAAAAATTTAAAATTGATAAGGAAAAATGTTTTTTTTTTTTTTTTTTTTTTTTTGTGTGATTGAGTGAGATAATGAATAATGATGTTGATACTGGGATCCACAAAAAATTAGAGAAAAACTTAAACCGATATCTATGCTCTTACAAAATGTCCTTTTGGTTGTTGGAGAACATCGCTTGACTTAGTGAGCACGACTTTCATTTCATTGTTGTCTCTTATTGGTCAGTCACTAAATTCCTAGCCAAACACCAAATTTAATCTAAAATTTTAAAAACTTTTAAGAGCAATTTCAATAGTCATGAATTTTTCTTGGTTTTTGTCAATCCATGTAGGAGATAAGGGGAAGTGAGAAAAGGGTGAAAATAAAATAAAATTTATGACAAGAATTTTTTTTAAATAAATTAATTTACGCCATGCTGGGCGCGACTATTAGTGCTCATTATTTCTCCCATTTTCCTAACCAAGGGGTCTCACAAAGATTTTTAGCAAATTTATTTTTTTAATGTAGGATAACACTTGTGTGAGACAGTCTCACGGGTTACAATCCGTGAAACGAGTCGGATATTTGATCAATGAGTCAATATTTTGATTAATTGGTCAGATCTTTGACCTCATTAATTAAAGTTCCGACTCGTCATGAGTTTTTATCAAACCCCCCACTTTATTCGAAAAGTCCTTCCATTTTTTCTTTTCTTTTTTCTTTTCTCTTTTTCCCCTGAAAACACTCTCGCAAAGGTACAAATGGAGATGCTCTAAATTCTAATGTTAAAGACTAAATTCTAGGCGTGTGCATTCGGACGGTTCGGACGGATCGGGTGAGAGATAGGTGCATCCGTTCAGATTTCAGTTTTGTATTTTGACTACCCTATCCGTTTAAAAATGCTGACTTATCCGGTCGGTTATATCCTAGTTCGGGTTTGGTCGGGTCGGTCGGATATCCGAAATTATTTCGGATATTAACAATTGTTGAAATCAAATCAAAAATTCATAAATTGAAATCAAAAGCAAAATAATAAGTAACTGAAAGTTTGAAATACTGAATAATACTGAATAAATAAGTAAATAATTAATAGAATGATAGTGTAATAGACTAATACCAGTAATAGTGTAATACTAAGTTACTAAGTTAGTAATTAGTATTACTAAGTAGTCTATTAACTAACATTAAGAGTCTTAACTCTTAAGTGGCTAAGACTAAGAGTCTAAGAGACTAAGACTCCAAAAAAACTACAGAAGTACATACATACTAGCTTGTATACTACTTACTACATACAAATTTACATAACTGTTTAAACTTTAAACCGAAGCCCCACAAAAACAAATTCACCCAAAATCAGCAACTCAGCATTCAACAACTCCTAGACTTTTAGAATTCAGACAATTAGAGTAGTTATTCTTCTTCCTGTGAATTGTGGCAAGTTAGTGTAGATAATTAGTACACAAGCAAGTAAACAAGTAAAGCAACTGAGCAAGCATTAGAAAATGAAAAACAGAGAAGGGATTATATAAATATTGGCTCAGTAAGCATATTTTACATATCATTTGGATTAAGGGCCTATTGCTTCAATATACCTTAAGTATAGAGCAACTGACCAACTTAATCCTTTCCTTTTCAGATTGAAGGTGGAAGCTTCATCATTGCCAAACTTGCCAACTTAAAGTGAACAGACAGAATAAAAGAGTCCATACATTACCAAATGCCCAAGGTACATGAGGCAGCAACTTAGTACAAGTTACCAGGCCTTCACACTTACAGAGTTACAGAGTCTGAGACTTACAGATGTGAGATGTCCAGTGGGCTCAAAAAATAGCAAGTGAGATTAGATTGCAATTTAGTTAGAATCAATAAAATCAAGTAATGTAAATAATAACATTACAGGAATTGTAGCAAGTGTAGAACCAAGAGACCTCCCACTTCCACCATCACCACTTAACTCTGCAAAATAAACAAGAAAAGTATTAACAATTTAAGCAATTTAAAATATAAGTATAAAGGATTATAATGTTCAAACTACAAAGTCATACCTTTTTCAAACCTCTCCAACTCTTCCAGATTCTCCTCAATACATAAAGGAGTATTTTGCTTTCTAAGCTAATCTTGTGTACACACCAATGCTTCCACAATTTTTGGAGTTAAAGAACTCCTAAAAGGATCCAATACTCTTTCAGATGTACTGAAGGCAGATTCTGAGGCTACAGTGGAGATTGGAATGGCTAGGAGATCCCTAGCAAGCTTAGACAGAACTGGAAACCTAGCAGAGTTGATCTTCCACCATCCAAGTATGTCAAAAGATTCTTCCTCTTCAACTATTCCCTCACTCAAGTACATATCCAACTCAGTTTGTTTCTTACCCCCAGACTCCAATCTTTGCTTTTTAATTTGGGACTTCAGAAAATGTTGTGGCTTCCCAACAGAAACAGAAGAGGCAGATGTAGGCTGTACAGACACAGGCACAGAAGGGACAGGCACAGAAGGGACAGAAGAAGAGGCAGATGTAGAATAATCATCAAATAACTCAGCAAGACCAGCAATTACTTTGTCATAGAATTTTTGACCCTTTTCCTCACCATACATATGATTAAACTGAGTAGGCATATACTCTAACTTGTCTCTAGGGTCTAGAATGTTTGCAAAAAATATCATTAGATTCATTTTTTCCACATCACCCCAATACTTCTCAAATTTTGCCTTCATATTTTTCCCCATCACACCAACTGGCCCACCAACTTCCACCATGCCTTTCAATAGGCAGTACAGATCAGAAATCTCAGTAAAGAAAGTGTTTGAGGTGACATATAAAGAACCAGAAATTCTAATGGTCATGTCATAAAAACACTTCAGCAAATGAACCAGACTGCCAACAGATTCCCAGTCCATAAAATCAGGAATTGAATTACCCAAATCAGACTTAAAAGAGCAATCAGACTCCAAAGATTCAAACACTTTTTGGTAAGTTAATGCAGACTGCAACATTAAATAGGTAGAGTTCCATCTGGTTGGAACATCTAAACACAAAGAAGACCTTTGTTCAATACTCAACCAATCAGCCAAATCCCTGAACTTCTTGAGTCTAGCAGGAGAGTTTCTAACATATCTAACCACCTCCCTAACCTTCTTAACTGAACTATCACAATCCTTAAGACCATCTTGAACTACTAGGTTTAAGATATGGGCAATACATCTCATGTGAAGATACTTTGTCCTCACAGTAGATGATCCCCAAGACAGCATTTTTTTCTTCAGAAAAACCATAGCAGTGTCATTTGATGAGGCATTATCAACAGTCACAGAAAACACATCTCTAAGCCCCCACTCAAGCAAACAATTTTCTAGGGCTTTGGCTAGATATTCACCTTTGTGAGAAGTAACAGGGACAAATGCAAGGATTTTCTTATGAAGCTTCCACTCAGAATCAATGAAATGGGCAGTAACTACCATGTAGTTAATTCTTTGGATGGATGTCCAAGAATCTGTAGTGATACTAACCCTATGACTGCTTCCCCTTAAAAATTGCTTCAATTTCAGTCTCTCCTCATCATAGACAACTAGGATGTCCCTACTTATAGTCCACCTGGATGGAACTATAAACCTAGGGCAAGCAATAGCTATGAACCTCCTGAAACCTATTCCCTCCACAAACCTAAAAGGCAATTCATCTATGATTATCATTTCAACCAAGGCCCTCCTTATTGACTCTTGATTAAAAACCCAAGTCCCTATTTCTCCCACAGTAGGCTGACCATCTGTAAGTGATGTAACAGCCTGAAATGTTAACAGGGACTGCCTAGTTTCCTTGGAGTGAGGATTTTTCAAACAGCTAACCATGTGATTTCTTAAGGAAGAAGTCCCATGTTTTTTTTGTCTCACAGTGGTAAATTTTGGCACAATAAATGCATTTGCCTTTTACAACCACATTATTAGTGTCCTTTATTGCCTCAAAATGATCCCACACTGGTGATCTGGAAGCAACCTGTTTCCTCTTCTTGGCTGGAACAGCAGTAGGAGGTTGCTCATTCTGTTGATTCTCAACAGTTTGGGCTTCCACCCCTGAAGGTCCATCAATTGAGGAGCTGGGAGGTTGACTACCAGGAGTACCAGGCATACTGATATTATCCATCTAAAAATGGTGAACTATCAGTACACACAACAGGATTCAAAAGCATTCCAGAATCAGACACATTTTGTGTCATCATTAAACAGGAATGCATAATTAATTAAAGGGCATTATTCAATACAAAATTACAAATATACAAATACAATTAAGGGAATACATCCATAAACTTACAAAGAAATCCAGATTCAGGGATATATTTCAAATATCCAGATGAATCAGAGACTGTTATAACATAAAAACAGCTCATTTCATCAACATCATTAACTGAATTTCTAAGGGGCTTCCACCAATTAAAGCCTTTAAGAGACATTATAAGTTTATAACACTCAAATTAACATAAAAACAGCTCATTTCATCAACATCATTAACTGAATTTCTAAGGGGCTTCCACGAATTAAAGCCTTTAAGAGACATTATAAGTTTATAACACTCAAATTAAACAGACTCTTATTAGTTAAAACAGTCAGTGCTTCCACCACAAGGGACAAGGGACAAGTGATATACAATCTGGAACTTCTCAACAGATTGACTTAATCACAGTCCACAATTCAAAGAATCATAGAAACCATAATCAAGTATCATAACATCACAAACAAGGGACAAGGGACAAGTGATATACAATCTGGAACTTCTCAACAGATTGACTTAATCACAGTCCACAATTCAAAGAATCATAGAAACCATAATCAAGTATCATAACATCACAAACAAGGGACAAGGGACAAGTGATATACAATCTGGAACTTCTCAACAGATTGACTTAATCACAGTCCACAATTCAGAGAATCATAGAAACCATAGTCAGTGCTTCCACCACATTATCACAGAGACACAAAATAGATCACAAATTCGCAATAAACTCAGAGCAATATGCCAACATATCTAAGAAATAACTTTTACAAAACTAGGGTTTGCAGTAACAACTAACAAAGACACAAAGTCAGTGCTTCCACTACAATATCACAGAGACCACATAATACATCACAATAAATTTAAGAATAGGGTCAGCGAGTTACTTCTTTTCTCACAAATACCCCGGAGAACGAGGGCTTCAGCCTTCAGGCCTTCAGTTTACTGGAAGTCGACGTCTCGACGACACCAGTAGTCCACCACAGCACCACGTCCACGACCACCACAGCACCACTACACCAGTCAGGGCATGAGGGCTTCCACCAGTGACCAACAGAACCAACCGGACAAGGAGAGTATACACTACAAAGAAGGTAGTCTTTGTCTAGTACAGAAAGACTAGAGAGAACTGAGGAGTGAGGACTAAAATTGCAAGGTGAGACTGCGCAGAGAACCAGAGAGAACTGAGAGTCTCAGAGAATGAGAGAAGACTCAGAAGAGAAGCTCTCGTCTGGAAACCCTAGCAAGAGAAAGGAATCAAGAGACTGACTGCGCAAGTGTGGAGTTAGGAGTAACAACATATATATATACTAAGCCTAAACGACGTCGTATTGCTATCTACATACGCAACCCTAGCTTTTATCGGGTATTCGGACGGGTCGGGTGAATTTTTAACCCACCCTATCCGAACTCCGTAAACCGACGTCGTTTTAGGCGTCGATTCGGTTTTGCAACTCGGATATCAGTTCGGTTCGCGGTTCGGCCGGTTTTTTCGGTTTCTTCAGATTATGCTCAGCCCTACTAAATTCTCTTTTGATTGGAAATCTAAAAATTAAATTTATATGGTGAATAATGGTCATAACTTCTCAAAGCTTCGATAGTATATATCACAATACCAAAAACACTGCTTCTCATCGCAAATTGATATATCTGATCTTTCTCATATTTATTTGTTGGAGTGGAAACCCAAAAAAAAAAAAAAAAAAAATAGAGAGAGAGATATGAAAAAAGAAAAAAGCTAAAAATAGAAAGTACATTTATTTTGTAATTTTTTCAATTTAAAAAAATGAGAATAAAGACAACAAAATTAGAACATTGAATTAACCAATATTATATTTCTTTTAGAGGGAACAGAAACCAAATCATCATAATTAAATTATCTAAAGAGTTAATTTCATTTTTTGTCTTAAATTTATAATTGACAGTTCATTTTTAGTCATTTTTTATCAAAATATCTACATATGATTATAATATTATTGTGACATGATCATTTTTGGCTCTCTATCAACAAAATAGTTTTATGCCGTTAAATACACAGGTATTTGCCAATGACCTTATGGTCTAGTGGCATGAAGTGATTCTTCTAAATGGGAGGTCATTGATTTGTGCTTTAGTAGGTTGAAAAAGTAACTATAAACAGATACTACATTGTACCAGAGCCAATAGTACTCAAAAGAATTTTATAAAAAATAAACATAAAAATATAGTGGGGTCAACTCACTTTTGTATAAAAATGATCAAAATACATTTCTATTTAATGACATTTCAAAGATTTTGTTGACGGGGGACCAAAAATGATCATGTCACAATGATACTAGGACAAAATGTGAATGTTCTAATAAAAAAATTAAAAATAGACTGACACCTATAAATCTAGGACAAAAATAAAATTAATTCATGGTTTAGGATGCGAAAATGCGGTTGGTGCACTTGGAGGCTCATAACCATGCACTTGAAGATAAAAAAATGTGCACTTGAAGGCAAAAAATTTACATTCGAAGTCAAATAGATGTGCAACTGATGCAATTTATGGTACTAAAAATGGAGGTTATTCAACTTAAGTGTTATTGAACCAATTACCCATACAAATCGTTTGTAAATCTCACAAATTTCATTATAAATTTAGTTATATGTTATTGAAAAGAATGCACAAGATATAACAAATACTGCTCAAAAGTTGTGCACTTGAAGGCAAAGAAACATGCACTTGAAGGCAAAAAACTATGCACCTGAAGGCAAAAAATCTGCACCGAAGGAAAAAATGGTTCACTTGAATGCTAATTTTTTTTTTTTTAATTTTTTTTTTAATTTTTTTTTATTTACATAATAGTAAGACACATACACTTTTATGCATTAAATTGAGCACTTGAAAGCATAAAGAGGGGGATCACTAGAAGGAAAAAAAAAACAGGACACTAAAAGAGAAAATTCGAAAGAAATTAATTATGCACTCTTAGAAACGAAATCATGCACTTGAAGGTTAAAAGATTTGCACTTAAAAGTACAAAGATGTGCACTCAAAGTACTGAAATAAAAGTGATGCACTCGAAGAAGAAAAAATATGCATTTGAAGAAGGAAAAATGTGCACTCAAAAAAGGATAAATGTGAGCTCAAAAATAAAACACAAGCTGACTTATTTTACTCAAAACTACAACTATGTCACCGCGAATTTTTAATTAAATTTCACATCTATGATTATAACTTGTCTGCATTATTTACCTGATGGAGCTTTTTTATTCGATCCTTCGTTATCAAAATATTGACATTGTCCTTCAACAGCTCATCAATGCTAGTTGGTGGATCATTAAAGCACGATTGTGACTTTACCTATCTCTCGTATCTTGACTTAGTCGTGTTAAATATTAGTTGGGATGGAAATAGGTTGAGCCGAGTTGAGGTTTAGAAAATTAAGTCTAGACCTGTTATAAAAATTTAATATCTGAGTCTGGGCTTGAGTCTGAGCCTAAGCCTGTATGTAGATTTTTTGTTAGGTTCAAGTCTGAGTCTACAATTAGCCTGGTCTAAAAACATGTTTAGTATGTAGACAATTAAAAATCAATGGTTATTGCGTGGACGGCAAATTATTGTGTGAACCATAACAAAAATTACATTTTTAATATACTAAATGTACATTATTTTTGTACTAAATGTACATTATTTTTGTACTAAATGTACATTATTTTACAGTAGACAAAATATGGTCCACACAATAATGATTGGTGTGGACCATGGTCTAAAAACAACGTCGTTTTGTTTAATTTTATTTTTTGTGTGCCCAACTGCAACATATATTTTTATAACTCATAGTGTACATTATTCTATCTAAAGAATAATGTACACTAATTTAAAACATAATGTAAATTATGTTACCCCATATGTTTCATTATTCTAAACATGTAATGTACATTATTCTAACACGTAATGTATATTATTCTAACACGTAATGTATATTATTCTAACACATAATGTATATTTTTACTCATAATATTCACAACGATATATATTATTGACTGCATTATATTGTCTTACTGATGAATATTTCTAGCCTTAGAAGTGAAGTTCACGTTTTGAGTCGTCCTCTATCACCACCAGCATTGTCATTTTTTGGGATGAGAAGCCAACACAACCTAAGTGAATTAGTTAACCAAGACTATGTGGTCTAATGGTACTCGGGTTGGATTTTCATTTGGAAGGTTGTGAGTTTGAGCCTTAGTGGAGGCGTTATTGGTTCTTTGTGTTTTAGTAGGTTACGTTGAGAAAGTATATAAACAGATACTACGATGTAATAGAGCCAGTAACATTCAAAAAAAAAAAAATTGAGAAAGAGGTTTCAGGGCATTTTTATTATGGATTTCATTCTCTGAAATTTTATAATTTAAAAATTATGAGTTTTTATTTATATATTTAAATATGTTGGAAGCATAAGTAAAAATGGTAAAATTATTTATTTTTACTTGGCTTATATGTTGGTAATGGATTAATTCAAACTACTAAAATTTTGAACATCATACTAAAACTTAAACATCCAGGATTTCATTATAAGAACAATAGATAGAAATAAAAAGAATTACAAGAAATAATTGCATAAGATCTAATATGTAGGTATGGTCTTTCAATAGAAGCTCACATTATTGACTTTATTCTTTCAAACTTCTCATACAATAATTTTGTAGACCTTTTTGTACCATCGATTAATCATTGGTCTTGTGTTTTGATTGATTTAGAGATTAAATATTTTGCTCACTTGTAGGTAATTGATGAAACAAGTGAATTAAAAATATAAAGTTGAGAAATTTTGACAATAATCATACAAAATATTTAATTTATATATAAATGTTATTTTAGCTAATATTTATTTCGTTTATTATATTCCCTTCAACATACACATGACTTTCATTTGTTTTAATACAGTTCAGGGATTCCAATATAGCCTATGTATTTGACGAATGCCGATCCATGTTAAAAGATTATAATTAAAATAAGAACATTTCGGTAAAATAAAATAAGAAAATAATAGGGGTGAAGTGAGATGTTTTTTTTTTTGTGTGTGTGTGTGAGATTCATTGTATACTGTTCTTATCTGTAGTGTAATTGATAACTACACATATAAAGAAGACGTTGCACCTATATAAACCCCGACCCCATTCGTCACGGGTAACAGGCACTCCTTGCCCGCCACCCTTCTCCCTTTTGAACTAAGGGGTCTGAGTCACGGGTCTCCCAGAACCCTAACTCAGACCCTCAAGAACAAAACTTTTGAACAAAATTTAAGGTGCGGACGTCATTTTAACACTTAAAGTGCATTGTTCTAACACTTAAAGTGCGTGTTTCTATCATTTAAGGTGCGCCATTGTTATAAACTAAAGGTGCGCGATGCTAATACTTAATGTGCGCCATTTTAACACTGAAGGTGCGTTATTCTAACATTTAAGGTGCGTGTTTCTATCACTTAAGGTGTGCCATTTTTTAGCTTATGCTTCTTCTTTCACACATGCGTTTATTTATTTATTTATGGGAAAATGACACTTTTTCCCCCTAAGTTATATACTTATAGCACTTTTTCCCCCTCAATTATTTATGTAAGTATATTAGCCCCCTCAATTATTTTAAAAGTGGTGGTTTTTCCCCATGATATATTAAATTGACATTTCTACCCTTAAAGTAAACATTTTATTTATTTTACTTCTCCAACAAATTATTGTGTATATGTAGCAATGACCACGTTTCGGTTCGAACTGAACCGGACACTATGGCAATCGAATTAAAAGTTTTCGGTTATGATTCAGATCTAGAATCCAATATTTAGATTTTAATTTATTAAATTTCTGAACCAAAAAAATTGGATCATGAACCGTGAACCGGTGGTTCTGGATCCGGTTCGCAATTTTGAACCGTATTTATTTTAAAATTTTATTTTATTTTTTATTTTAAAATAGTCTAAATTCAACAATAAATGTATTTTATTTTTTCAGTTCGGAACATGAACCGGCCATTCCGATTTGCGATTTTAATAAACTCTAAATACCGCGTTTTGATTCTAAATTGTAATTGGAATATTTTGGTTTGGTTGCTATAGTATCTGTTTGGTTTGAACCAAATTATAGTAATAATTTGTTGGAGAAGAAAAATAAATGAAATATTTATTTTAAATATTTATTTTAAGGGTAAATATGTCCTTTTAACATTTTAGGTGGGGAAAGAGCCACTTAAATAATTCAGAGGGAAAAAGTGTTATAAGTATATAACTCAGAGGGAAAAAGTGTCATTTTCCCTTTATTTATTATAAATTTTCTTTAATTTGAGTCGTTTATCTAGATTTGATCAACAACTCAGATCTAACTAACCACACCAGGGAGCATCCTTGCACCCAAACTCATCTATATATATATAGAGAGAGAGACACAGACACACAATACTACATTACTACTTCCGTCCAATCCCTTCATCAAAATCACGATGCCTCCTTACAAACTATTCCTATTACTTACTATTATACACCTCCTTTCCACTGCCCCTATTTTCAATACTTCAACCACCCTTCCTTTTATTCCTCCAAACCACTTGCAAGTCCCAAATGAAGTAGGAGCTCTTTTAACATGGAAGTCAAGCCTGGACTTCAGAAGCCAACCGCTACTCTCATCATGGGTTGGTGGTAGTGATCACTGCAATTGGACTGGTATTGCTTGTGATGGCAGCCGAAGTGTTACAAACCTAAACCTTACAAGTTATGGGTTAAAAGGTACGCTTCGAAATATGAATTTCTCATCCTTGGTCCATTTACAAGTCATAGATCTTTCAAACAACTATCTCCACGGAAGCATTTCTTTTATCAAAGAAATGTTTGGCTTGAAAAGTATGACGACTTTTCATCTCTATAGAAATCAATTTTCGGGTCACATTCCTCAAGAAATTGGATTGTTAACGTCTCTTATTGATTTGAAACTGTCGTTCAATAATCTCTCTGGTCAAATTCCAACTTCAATTGGGAATTTGCAAAGTTTAACAACTCTTTATCTATGGGGGAACCAACTTTTAGGCCACATTCCTCAAGAAATTGGGTTATTAACTTCTCTTGTTGATTTGAAACTGTCTTTCAATAATCTTTCTGGTCAAATCCCAACTTCAATTGGAAACTTGCGAAATTTATCAATCCTACATCTCTATGTGAACCAACTTTCAAGCCACATTCCTCAAGAAATTGGGTTATTAACTTCTCTTGTTGATTTGAAACTGTCTTTCAATAATTTCTCGGGTAAAATTCCAACTTCAATTGGAAACTTGCGAAGTTTATCAACCCTACATCTCTATATGAACCAACTTTCAGGTCACATTCCTCAAGAAATTGGGTTATTAACTTCTCTTATTGATTTGAAACTGTCTTTCAATAATCTCTCTGGTCAAATCCCAACTTCAATTGGGAACATGCGAATTTTATCAACTCTATATCTCAATCATAACCAACTATCAGGCCACATTCTTCAAGAAATTGGGTTGTTAACTTCTCTTGTTGATTTGCAATTGTCTTTCAACAATCACTCTGGGCAAATCCCTATTTCAATTGGGAACTTGCGAAGTTTATCAGTTCTATATCTCTATGACAACAAACTTTCAGGCCACATTCCTCAAGAAATTGGGTTATTAACTTCTCTTGTTGATTTGAAACTGTCTTTCAATAATCTCTCTGGTCAAATCCCAACTTCAATTGGAAACTTGCGAAGTTTATCAACTCTACAACTCAATGCAAACCAACTTTCAGGCCACATTCCTCAAGAAATTGGGTTGTTAACTTCTCTTATTGATTTGGATCTGGCTTTCAATAATCTCTCTGGTCAAATTCCAACTTCAATTGGGAACTTGCAAAGTTTAACAATTCTACATCTCTACGAGAACCAACTTTCAGGCCACATTCCTCAAGAAATTGGGTTGTTAACTTCTCTTATTGATTTGGATCTGGCTTTCAATAATCTCTCTGGTCAAATTCCAACTGGGAACTTGCAAAGTTTAACAATTCTACATCTCTACGAGAACCAACTTTTAGGCCACATTCCTCAAGAAATTGGGTTGTTAACTTCTCTTATTGATTTGGATCTGGCTTTCAATAATCTCTCTGGTCAAATCCCAACTTCAATTGGAAACTTGCGAAGTTTATCAACTCTACAACTCAATGCAAACCAACTTTCAGGCCACATTCCTCAAGAAATTGGGTTGTTAACTTCTCTTATTGATTTGGATCTGGCTTTCAATAATCTCTCTGGTCAAATTCCAACTTCAATTGGGAACTTGCAAAGTTTAACAATTCTACATCTCTACGAGAACCAACTTTCAGGCCACATTCCTCAAGAAATTGGGTTATTAACTTCTCTTGTTGATTTGAAACTGTCTTTCAATAATCTCTCTGGTCAAATCCCAACTTCAATTGGAAACTTGCGAAGTTTATCAACCCTACATCTTTATGTGAACCAACTTTCAGGCCACATTCCTCAAGAAATTGGGTTATTAACTTCTCTTGTTGATTTGAAACTGTCTTTCAATAATCTCTCTGGTGAAATCCCAACTTCAATTGGAAACTTGCGAAGTTTATCAACTCTACATCTCAATGCGAACCACCTTTCAGGCCACATTCCTCAAGAAATTGGGTTATTAACTTCTCTTATTGATTTAGAATTGGACTCAAACAATCTCAATGGTCAAATTCCTACTTCAATTGGGAACTTGCGAAGTTTATCAACTCTACATCTCTATAAGAACCAACTTTCTGGCCACATTCCTGAAGAAATTGAGTTATTAACTTCTCTTGTTGATTTGAAACTATCTTTCAATAATCTCTCTGGTCAAATCCCAACTTCAATTGGGAACTTGCAAAGTTTAACAATTCTACATCTCTACGAGAACCAACTTTCACGCCACATTCCTCAAGAAATTGGCTTGTTAACTTCTCTTGTTGATTTGGATCTGGCTTTCAATAATCTCTCAGGTCAAATTCCAACTTCAATTGGGAACTTGCAAAGTTTAACAATTCTACATCTCTACGAGAACCAACTTTCAGGCCACATTCCTCAAGAAATTGGGTTATTAACCTCTCTTGTTGATTTGAAACTGTCTTTCAATAATCTCTCTGGTCAAATCCCAACTTCAATTGGAAACTTGCAAAGTTTATCAACCCTACATCTTTATGTGAACCTACTTTTAGGCCACATTCCTCAAGAAATTGGGTTATTAACTTCTCTTGTTGATTTGAAACTGTCTTTCAATAATCTCTCTGGTCAAATCCCAACTTCAATTGGAAACTTGCGAAGTTTATCAACTCTACATCTCAATGCAAACCAACTTTCAGGCCATATTCCTCAAGAAATTGGGTTGTTAACTTCTCTTATTGATTTAGAATTGGACTCAAACAATCTCAAAGGTCAAATTCCTACTTCAATTGGAAACTTGCGAAGTTTATCAACTCTACATCTCAATGTGAACCAACTTTCAGGTCATATTCCTCGTGGAATTGGATGGTTAACATCTATGGTGAACTTGTCATTGTACTCAAATAATCTCACTGGCCATATCCCTACTTCATTTGGGAATTTGCAAAGTTTGAAATTTTTATTTCTTTATAAGAACCAACTTTCGGGTCACATTCCTAAAGAAATCGGGTTGTTAACATCTCTTGTTGCTTTAGAATTATCTGAAAATGATCTTAGTGGTCAAATTCCTAGTTCAATTGGAAACTTGCAAAATTTAACAACTCTTTCTCTTTGGGGGAACCAACTTTCAAGCCACATTCCTCAAGAAATTGGGTTGTTAACTTCTCTTATTGATTTGCAATTGGACTCAAACAATCTCACAGGTCCCATCCCTACTTCAATTGGAAACCTGTGGAAATTAACAAATTTGTTTCTCAGGAATAATGAACTGAATGGCAGCATTCCTTCAGAGTTAAATAACCTGACTCTCTTAGCTGAATTTGATTTATCAGATAATCACCTCACTGGTGTTTTGCCTGGAAATTTGTGCATTGGTAATTCAGTGAAACATTTGGCTGTCAAAAACAATGAGTTTATAGGAAAGATTCCCAAAACACTGAAAAATTGCACCTCTCTTCTCAGAGTACATCTTGAAAACAATCAATTCTCAGGAGACATCTTTGAAGATTTCGGAGTTTATCCGGACCTAAACTACATTAATTTGAATAACAATTCTTTCTATGGCCATCTATCTTCTAGTTGGGGAAATTGCCCAAAACTTGGTACTTTGAAGATTTCAATGAACAGAATTTCTGGAAAACTCCCACCAAATCTTAGCAATGCCTCTCAGATTGGTATTATTGATCTCTCATCAAATAAACTAATTGGAATGATTCCTAAGGCTTTGGAAAACCTGACATTGTTAACTATCCTTAAGTTGGATAACAACAGATTTTCAGGCAACATATCACTAGAAATTGGGAAATTACCTCAACTTTTGAACTTCAGCATAGCCGCAAATAATTTTGCTGGATTGCTTCCGGAGGAGTACTTTGAAAGAGGCCAAGTGTTAATAGACTTGAATTTGAGTAAAAATATGTTTGTTGGGGAGATTCCTTATGGTATGGGAAACATGAAATCGCTTGAAAGTCTTGATCTAAGTCACAACATGCTCTCTGGTCAGATACCACTGCAATTTGACAAGCTAACAAGTTTACAAATATTGAACTTATCACACAACAATTTGTCAGGAAATATCCCTTCTAGTCTTGGCGAATCTTTGGGCTTAATATGTGTTGATGTGTCATACAATCGGTTGGAAGGTCCCATCCCAAACACAAAAGTATTTCAGGAAACTCCATATGATGCCTTGAGAAATAATAAAGGTCTTTGCGGGAAACATTCTGGCTTCAACCCTTGCTCCGCAAACAATCAAAGAGATCATCATCAGAGAAGAATTTTGCTCTTAATCATACTACTAACACTTGGAAGTTTGTCTATGATTATTAGCATTCTTGTCCTGTTAATTCTTCGGTCAAGGAGCAATATTAGAGAAAAGCCAAGGGGAATTACTAAAGATGTGTTGACAATATTGAATTTTGACGGAAATATGGCATATGAAAGCATCATCGAGGCAACTGGGAACTTTGATTCAATATATTGCATTGGTGAAGGAGGGCATGCAAGTGTTTATAGGGCTGAGCTACCAAGTGGCCAAATTGTTGCTATAAAGAGGTTTAATAATGCAATTGGGCAAGAAGACGAACCTTGCCAACTCAAAAGTTTTTCAAATGAGGTTCGCACTTTGACAGAGGTTAGACATCGAAATATTGTGAAACTGTATGGTTTTTGTGCTAGTGAGAGAAATACATTCTTAATTTATGAGTACTTGGAAGGGGGAAGCCTAGCACACACATTAAATGATGAGGAAAAGGCCATGGAATTCGGGTGGATGAAGAGGATAAATGTGGTTAAAGCTGTGGCTAAAGCTTTATCATATATTCACCATGATTGTTTACCACCTATTGTACATCGGGATATATCAGCTAAGAATATTTTGTTTGATTGTGAATATGAAGCTCACGTGTCTGATTTTGGAACAGCAAGAATATTGAGTCTTCATTCATCGAATTGGACTTCATTTGCAGGAACATTTGGCTATGCAGCTCCAGGTATACCATATATTATTTTTTCACCCAAGCTTAACATATATAGTTAATTCAGTTTACATACATACATATATACACATATATATGCTCTGATCTCTTCTTGCTTCTTTGAATTTCTTTTATTGGTAGAGTTTGCTTATACTATGGAGGTCACGGAAAAATGTGATGTGTATAGCTTCGGTGTGCTAGCACTAGAAGTGATTATGGGTAAACATCCAGGTGACCTCATTACGTCCATTTTTTCATCTCCAATATCAAGTGTCCACGAAACACTTTTCAAAGATGTGTTGGATCCTCGACTCTCTACTCCAACAAAGGCGGAAGCGGAAGAGTTGATTTTGGTGGCGAAGATAGCAGTGGCGTGTTTAAATATGAATCCACAATGTCGGCCAAGCATGGAACAAGTTTCTGTGTTGCTAAGCAAAGAAAGGCAATCCTCAAATTCATTTCCACAGATCACAATAAACCAATTGTTTGGTGGTCTTGAGTTTCCTACTCCAATCCTTAGAGGGTAAATTTGGGTAGGTTGAAGTCTTATTCATGCCCGGGTATGTATGTATTATTGGTCTGATCAACTACCCTGCCACCCTATCTTATAAGATTATACATATATATATGATCAATCTCTAAAATATACTGAAATTTAAAATTAGCTAATATTTGTTTAGTTGATTCATTCAACAGTACAGTTGGCCGCATGCAGTTACAACCCAATTTCTTATGATGATGACTTTGCAAACCATCCATCCGGTTGTGCAAATTAAAATGGCACACCGGCCAATTAAGAGACTCTGCTGTCATGCATATATATATATATATATATATGCGGCCTTAGCTTACAGTCATGCAGATATACTGGTAAGTATGTAACAACTATACTATACTATACTATACAGGTTTCAAACTTTAATAATTGTGTGCATTACCCTTATCTGTTTAGGCAATCAAACAATGGCAGTCAAAAGAGATGAAGTACAGACGCTAGCTTAGCTTAGCTTGCTGATGGATATGATGCACAGAATTATACATGCATGCATGCATCACCAAATCACTTGGTTAAGTGGGGCAAGTTGAGGTGTCAATTTAATATAATTAATTTGCTGAAAATATTATAAGTACGTTTTGGTGTCCATCTTGTATGTATGTAATCTAATAAACTTTCACTTATTATGTCTCATCTGTTTGTTTTGTTTCCTAGAAATTATTGGCTATATATGCGAGACAAAGGCTTCTTCAAGTTCTGCATGCTCAACACATTCATATATAAATCAAAGCATGCCATAGACGAAGACAAGGAAATTATTGTCTTTTGAAGATTGGTTTAATTTGTGTCACAAGCAAAGGATTATTTGGCATTCTGGCAATATGGGAAGACCATACCATGCATGATTGATGGATGAAACCAATAGATGCATCATTACATACAATTTTGTAAGTTTTTTAGGCTTTCCATCATTAATCACCTTAATTGTGTTTTTCCTATGAAATAATGCATCATGCATTTTCTGATCTACTACCTTGGATGGATAGATTTCAAACTTTAATTACATATATATATTTTGATGCAGATCAGATCAGAGCATGCACCTTAATTTACTGCATGTATTTGCTTCAAATTTAATTTCATCACTGTTGCTAACATATGATCCTAAAATTAAGTTGCAACACCTCCACGCTAGGTGATCAAATTCATGCACTCATTCTTATATCTTGATTAGTTCTGCAGGTTTATGTGTTCATTTAATTTTTTACTCAGTGAAATCACCTTTTTTTTTTTTTCTCTGAACACCACAAAACAACCATATTCTAAAACTTTTTTCAATTGTTATAAATTCTTGTAAGGTGAGTTACCTAGGGACAGAATGAGCATTGGCAATGCGGTCAAGGAGTTGCGTTCAATCAAAGACAGCCTTGTGGAACTTGGAGACATTAGGACCATTCCTCGGTGAGATAATTCATTTGTGACGCTCCTTAAATTATTGCAATGAAAATTTTCAAGTGCTCCATTTAAACTAAAAGTCTAAATTGATATAGTTGGATTGCACATTTATGTTTATATATTATATGCTAAACAAGTGTAATGTTTTTGTTTCATGCTATATTCTGGTCGATGTCATACGACCATGTGGATCTATTAAAATTAGAGCAGGCTGTATCAAGCAAGCTAGAAGTGGTGTTTGCAACTTCAACAATCCAATCAGCAGATTAGAGACTGAGATCAAGCAAGGGAGCAGTGTATGGGGATTCAATCATTCCTATTGTGATTGATTGAGAATGTAATTTTATTTTATTTTGTTTGTAATGTTGGTTAATTTTGATGTTTTGAAGATTTTGCTCCTTTCCCTTTTGTATTTAATTAGTTTGAGAGTTCATTGCAACTTCTTTTCATGCAAATTGTTTTTCTCCCTTAGTTTAGACAATACTTTGATCTTTGTAGTCTCTGAAGTTTACTAATAATTGCAATATAAAAAACACGCAAAATATCCATATGTAAGAACTCAAAGCAAGAAGTAGAAACATATGTGCTATTAGGAAAATGACTCATTTTCTGCTAGTAGCATTAACATTCTTCATAATATGTGTTTCTAAGTAATACAATCCATTGACCACCTTAGCCAAATCATTAATCATCAGCAACCCATGGTCACTCTGCCCTCTAAGGCTCGGCTCAATGTTTATGGGAATTCAAAATCTAGTTGAGATGTCTTCAAGTTGAGAAACAATTGAGATGGGAATTGTGTTGTGTCTAAAAGTCATTTTGCTTGAACCGTTGTTGTTACTTCAACTTGTCTTGTTGGGGCCTCTACTGTTCCAACATTTTGTTATGTTTATTCATCCAAATCTGTAAGTAATGCTTCTAGAACTTGCAAAATGTCTTCTATCCATTGTTGGTCTTTCAATAAACAATCTCACTAGCCATGGAATTTTAATTTTTTCAAAGTATGGGATGGGAAGTGATTTTTTAACATTTGGTGATATGTATAGCTATGAAATTCTTTTGCTAGAAATGTTTGTCACTAAAAGTCCTACAAGTGATATCCAATAATGGCTTAACTCCGCTAAGATTACCAATACCTTGCTCTTGTAAATGGTCGCTTAGCCATCTAAGGACCGACTCAATGGTTATAGGAATTGAAAATCTAGTTGAGATGTCTTCGATCAAGTTGATCGAGAAACAATTGAGATGCGACTTCAGTGGATCGGGGCGAATACTAAATGACGTTAGAAATGTCAATGACAAAACATCAAACAACCATAATAAGCTAGGTAAAAATACAAAATACATTATAAATTAAAATATATTTATGAGAAAATATGAAACATAATCAATTAGATAAAATAATTTCAATAACAATATATTCATAAATACTTTTAAATTCCTTCAAAAAAAATAAATAATTTTAAATTCTAATTTCTTTTAGTTAGATCTATTTTTCTAAATTAATTCGAATACAATAAAGTATATTATAAACTTGTATACAACATTAATTAAATGATTTATAAAAACTAGACTAAAAGAGCATTTAATTTCTTAATTAAATGATCGATTCATAAAAAATAGACTAAAAATATTTAATTTATCTTGTGAGAGAAAAAAATAATTAAAAGTGTTGCTAATGAGATTTGAACCCATGACATAAAATTTAGAGTTCAACCAACTAAACTACTCAAAAGACACCGGAGAGAATAATGATTCAAAGAGTTTGACCTTGTTACATAGGGTAATATTGCAATTGATGTGGCAAATGCACTTGATTATCTTCATAATCAATTGAAGACAGGTTTAATACATTGTGATTTGAAGACAAGCAATATTTTGTTGGATGGAGACTTAGTTGCTCACGTGGCTGATTTTGGATTAGCAAAGTTTCTTCCCACGGAAGTTACATCTAACCAAGCGAGTTCATCTATAGGAATTAAAGGGACTTTTGGATATGTAGCTCCAGGTAGACTATTCTACTTGAAACTTTTAAGAGTGAATCACTTCTAATTAAACATAAAAACTTTAAACATAATGCTTGGATTTGAATTTTTTAGAGTATGGGATGGGAAGTGATCTGTCAACATTTGGTGATATATGTATAGCTATGCATGGGATTCTTTTACTAGAAATGTTCACCAATAAAAGTCCTATTAGTGATATCTTCAATAATGGTTTAACTCTTCATAACTATGTTAGAATGAGCACGCCTGAGCAAGTCACTGAAATTGTGGATCCCAAGCTATTCCACAAAGAAGATAATGCAACACCTAAAAGCCTTGTACTTCAGAACCAGATAATAGAATGCCTTGTATCAATTCTTAAGATTGGAATAGCTTGTTCCGTGAAGTTACCTAGGGACGGAATGAGCATTGGCAATGCAGTCAAGGAGTTGCTTTCAATCAAAGACACCCTTGTGGAACTTGGAGACATTATGACCATTCCTCGGTGAGGTAATTCGTTTGTGACGGTTCTTAAATTAGTGTATTGTAAATTTTCAAGTGCTCCATCAAAATTAAATGTCTAAATTGATATATAGCTGGATTGCACATTTATATTTATATATTATATGCTCAACAAGTGTAATGTTTTTGTTTCATGCCATATTCAATATTTGGTCGATTTCATACTACGATGTGGATTTATGAAAGTTAGAGCAGGCTGTACGTATCAAGCAATTCAGCTAGCAGTGGAATTTGCAACTTCAACAATCCAATATTCAACGGATCAGAGAATGAGATCAAGCAAGGGAGCAAAGCCTGGGTCTGGGGATTGATTCATTCCTATTGTGCTTGATTGAGAATTTGATTTTATTTTATTTCGTTTTTGATGTTGGTTAATTTTGATGTTTTGAAGATTTTGCTCATCATTTCCCTTTTGCCGTCAATTTGTTTGAGAATTCATTGCAACTTCTTTTTCCTAAAAATTTCTTTTCTCCCTTAATTTAGACAATGCTTCTTTGCACTCTCAGGAGTTTACTGATAATTGCAATAGTAAAAACACCCAGAATATCCACATGTAAAAACTCTAAGCAAGAAGTAGAAACATATGTGCTATTAGGAAAATGACTCATTTTCTGCTAGTAGCATTAACATGCATTCTTCATAATATGTGTTTCTAATAAGTAATACAATCCATTGACCTCCTTAGCCAAATCATTAATCATGTGCAACCCATGTATTCTTGAATCAAGCAAATGTTGAAGATTCTTCCAACAATATAATATTGACAGTATTCTGTCTTTCTTGTTGAGCAATTTTAGCATAGACCTTATTCATTGATTGATAGGATCCATCACCATAAGTTGTAATCTCGATCACTTCAGCATACTCTTCAGTCTTCATTGAGACCTATCAAAAATTTAGCAATAATCATTCTCAAGATGGGTCTTGATTAAAGTTTTCAGTCAATTGATGTAATTAATCAGTCACAGTATCTGTCCCTAGAATCGTGTGTTCAGGGAGTAGAATAGTATGAAAGATTTTCTTACTAAGGAGCCCTTAAGTACATATGTTCAGGGAGCATAATAGTGTGAAAGATTTAATTTCTTACTAAGGAGCTCCTTAGATTATCTTATCCTTACACCATTCCTGCTAAGATTACCAATAACTTGGTCTTGTGGATGGTCATCACTCAGCCATCTAAGGCTCGGCTCAATGTTTATGGGAATTCAAAATCTAGTTGAGAAACAATTGTGATGGGAATTGTGTTGTGTCTAAAAGTCATTTTGCTTGAATAATATGCTTGTGTAACAAATGTAGTATTTGAATTAACTGAAAACACAACTAAATATAAAACCTGGGATGGAAGAATTTTCATCAATGCAAGTTGGAGAAGTAATATAATATAACTGCACCCGCATGGGCAGCTCAACTGGTTATAGAGGTAAAACTTTGGAAGAATGGCCAGGGACCGAGTCTCACCAGCGGCAGTGTGGGAGCAACCTCTCAAAGTGAGGGGGTTCCTTGTGCGCAGTGAGCACCGGTCTAGCCTCGATTCATGTTCAGTTGAGTTACCATGATTTACATCCTCACGAGCATGCGCAGTGAGCACCGGTCTAGCCTCTGTGATTCATGTTCAGTTGAGTTACCATGATTTACACCCTCCCAAAGGGTTGGGGTTCTTCCTTTTGGAAGAATATAATATAACTGCAATTAGGAAACTTACACCAAATGCACCTGGACGATTATTATCGGGTTGTTATATCATGCATCACCGCGCGTCAGACATTACAGTGTGTCTAAACCGACACTGTCTCATGTATTATTTTTATATTATCAAATGAAACTACAATTATATCAAAATGATATTGTAGTTGTGGTGAAATGAAACTACAATTATATCAAAATGATATTGTAGTTGTGGTGAAATGAAACTACAGTATATATAAAATGAAACTGAATAACATTTCACATATTTGAGTGTATATTGTACAATGAAGCTGTAATTATATTGAAATGATCATGTAGTTGTGTTTTAATGAAATTATAGTGTATATAAAATAAAATTAAATAACATTTTCACATATTTGAGTGTATAAATATTGAATGAAACTGTAGTTATATCGAAATGAAACTGTAGTTGTGTTGAACTGAAACTGCAGTGTATACAAAATGAAACTGAAAAACAGAATATTTTTTGCGAAGATTCTATTTCTTTTCATTAAATAAAAGGACGTCGTTTTGACAGTGTCGGTTTAGACACACTGTAGTGTCTGACGCACGGTGCATGATTGATCATGCACCATGGTGCATGATATAATTTGCCATTATTATCATCAACTACAATAACAAAAACACCAATCTAAATAACAAGTAGAATAATACAATCACCAATATCAAACATGTAAACCCCTATAAACAACACAATAAATGAATCAAATACCTGGATCGGAATTGATTAATTGTGATCAACAACAATTAGTAATTCGCATCAATAGCATCATCCACAAAACTCTGATTGCTTCTATTTGTCGATTGATCCATGGTCGATAGAACTTTGAGAATACACCTGATAGAACGCATGGTTGAAAAAATCGCTAGGCGCTCGGGGAGAGCCTAGGCGCTAGGGCTCCTAGGTGGGGATTAATCGGCGCAACGACCGTGTATTTTTTATTTTTAAAAATTTGTTTAATTTTTGTAAGACTTGATAATTATAAACTATTTAATTATGTAGGCCTTGGTTTGTTACGATTCTTCCATGCTTCTTCATTTGACAATGCTACCTTAATGTTGTAGCCAAAAACATGGTCATATATTCTCTTCCCATATTGTTCAACGTCCTCATTTGGTCTGCATTCAAAAATATCTTCCAAATGTTCTGATGAGCTACAAGAATCACTAGAGTGCACATTCAGATCACTTTCCTGATTCTTGTCCCCAAAAAGCTTTGCAAAAAGCAGATCTTTTGCCCATACAATGCAGTGAACAAACTGCAATGTCAGAAAATCAGGTTAAAGCATGCTTTTGGAACCAGATCTTCAAAAAAAAATAAAAAAAATCATCATAAGAGTGAGATCTATATAAGCCACAATTTCGATGAATATATTTTGGGCCTATTTACTCCTAGAAGCACTTATGCTGATCTTTTACTGTGTTTGGATAGGCTTATGAATATGGCTTATGGCTTTTGGAAAGTTGTTTTGCAATTGTTATTGTCTCCATAAGCCATCAGAAGGAGCTTATATATTTTATTTTAAAAGAAGCTAAAAACTAGCTTTTCAAGGACCAGTTAAATCACTTGCTCTTTTTGAGCTTATCTAAATTTGCTTATCTTAAGAGTGCCCATTTAGACTGTTTGTCCAAACTGAGAAAAAATCAAACACTTTAGCATTTCCCTTATGCATAGATAATCTACAGTCTACACAATAACCTTACTGAATATCAAAAGCATTGAGTCATAACCTTAGAACAGGGACAAGCCTAAAACTATTCCCACCAGTGGAATGAATACCTTTTCTTTAAAGGCCAAGGAGTACTAAAACTAAACACTGATTTATTGTACATTAACCCAATTGAATTTATGAGAGTCATTTTAAAACAATAAAAATATCACTAATACCTTGGATGGAGTGCTTGTAATTGTGCATACAGGGTAAATTTTTGGAGCTGGTTTAGGTTGGCACTCGTAACACTCTGTTTTGCCCTTCACATGCACAGTAACCTGCCAAGACCAGAATGCAAAACAACATGAATTGCAAAACAAATCTAGGTCATCATGTTTCAACAGTGGAGTATATTCCTTACAAAAAAAGTAGGTGGTCAAAACAAGACTGGGAAACTAAGAGCAGAAAAGTTATCCTTTTCTTTCCCTCAAGTGAATTTCTGTCTCATAGTTATAATCTTCCAGCATATAAGAGCAAACAAAATTTGTTTGTAACAGTCTTTTGACTTATAACAGAGATAACTAGTTTCCCCCAGACTCAGAATATTCATCTAAACTTAATTAGAAATCTTTGATGGCACACATAAAATCTCAAGTAAATAATAAAAACATGCAAGAACATAAAACTGAAATAAGTTTTAAGACACCAGGTGAAACAGTAATCCTTAAGTATCTAACATTACCTGTCCCAAGAAACCAGTAGTCCCACTTTCGACCAATGGAACATTGGCTGCCAAGCAAAGTCGGTTCACATGTCGCCTAGCATCTAGATTGTCAAGGCCATTAAGAACAACATTGAATTGTTTAAAGAAATCCACATTGAAGTGAGTGTCTTTAACATTTGCGTGGTAAGGTGTAATTTTCATTCCAGGCCTAAATTTCAAGACGGCATCCCTAGCAACCTGGGTGAAAATTTGAGAGAGCATATCAATAGAGTGAATGAATGTGCTATGTGCCAAATAGCAACTTAAGGTACGGACATGCTTTACTTACTTTGGACTTAGATTGCCCAACATGAGATTGTCGAAATAGAAACTGTCTGTTTAAATTACTCACTTCTATTGTGTCCATGTCAATCTGCAAGTGAATATGATTCAATGATAAGAGATTACAGCAATATATACAAAAATAAATAAATAAATGCAAGTATATTATACCATCCAAATATCCAATCACTTGTATAACCCAACTGTAGAAATTTTCTAGAATGATATATAACCTAGATTATCCAAAGCATATATGGAATTAGTATCGGGCACTCAGAGTACCTAAGTTCACAGCTATAACTTTCCAAGTTTGTCACATAAAAAGGAAACTGCGTAGATCCATAATCTGACCATAGCACTATTTATTTCCACTCTCCATATACCAATTAATTTACTGCTTCCCACCAAATATCCATTCTCACTAATTTTTAAGTCCTAAGTTCCAACCATTGCATGGATATCCTTGTTGCATGGTTTCCTATCATTCCCAAATCAGAACAAACTTTTAGTAGTGCAATAATCAAACTCACTTAGACTTGGTCAAAGAATAACCTGGAAATTTTAGTAATGAGTTTATCATCCAAACCAGAACTTCACGACGCTACAAATTGCGAAAACAGAATATACAACTTGAAATTTATAAAGCCTTTGTTCCTAAAACTCATACACAGAGTGCATCACCACAAAAGTCATAATGCTAGACCGATAATATTAAAAAACGCTAGACCAGAAACCTCGGAACTTAACGTTTTGCAGAACTCACAATGTGTACGTCTTGAAAGTCGGAAAGCGCGAGGGTTTTCAGAAGCTCGCAGCCAATACCACCGGCACCAACCATGAGCACTTTCGCGCGCTAAATATTGTCAAAAACAATACGATCATTTGCAAGGAATATAGTGGGGGGGGGGGGGGGGAAACACGTAAATAGGCAGAAATGAAAAATTGCAGCGAGAAAAGAGTGTTTTGTGCTTCCAATAGTAGTTTGCATGCCTTGATTGCAGATAACTGTTCCTCGGAAGCCATTGGAGACCGGAAGAAGAGAGTTGCAAGTGTGTTGCTATGTGAAAATGCTATACCGCGTGTATTATGTTGCGCAGAACGATGTACTGAGTCAACCCGGTTTCAAAAAGAATGTTTCCAGGAGGAAATGGAGCCAAAAAGACTTTCTTCCTCCTTCCTCACTAAGCCATGGGGGCACGGTGCGGTTGCTTTTTGCGACTTTTGGAGGGTGCACCGTCATGTAACCAAAACCACCAAAGGTTAAAATTAACCAACTATAATTACTTCTTCCCCTAAAAAATAATTACTTCCTCCATGACATATTAACTTCCACTTTTTAGGGTGTGTTTGGTTCGCGCATGAGAATTAGAATCGAAATGGGTATCAAATACGGAGCGTTATGCCATGGAACCGTGTTCACCATTCATGGTGAACACGGTTCCAACGGTGTTAGTACACCGTTATCTTTTTTTTTTTTTTTTTTTTCTTAATTAATTGCGTGACTTTTCTTCTTCATTTTCACATTTTGCGGTTTCACTTTAATTTGAGGTGAACAATGATTTCGGACATTCATAAATTATGAATTCATGCCTGCACATTCACTTTGGAACCATGCCTACACATTCCCGTCCGAAATCACGGACATTCATAAATTATGAATCCATGCCTGCACATTCACTTTGGAACCATGCCTACACATTCACTTTGGAAGCATGAGATTATGAATTTTCTGTTATAAGATTATGAATTTTCAGTTATGAGATTATGAATTTTCTGTTATGAGATTATGAATTTTCTGTTATGAGATTATGAATTTTCTGTTATGCGATTATGAATTTTCTGTTATGAGATTATGAATTTTATGAAAATTCATAATCTCATAACAGAAAATTCATAATTTGATCAACGCGCGTTAACTCCACATCCGCAATTTTTTTTTTTTTTGCCTAAAAACGACGTCGTTTGGTCTTGTGTTCACCATTCACGGTGAACACGTTTCCAGGGCATAATTTGCCCTCAAATACTTGGTAATAGTAATGGATTTTGATAAAAATATTTAACATTGACTCTTCAGATCGGGTCTGGAGTTTCCTGATGTATTATTGTATATAATTTTCAAGTTTATACTGTATATTTGTGAAGTCAGTTCTTATCAGCACAATAGGGTCAGAACACTTGAGAAATCAAGATTCAGAACAGAAGTTTTTCTAGGAGAGTTTTGCAAATTAGTCAAGCATTTACATTCTGCATAATATTTTCAGATGTAATCAAGAGAGGCTCATTTGACCTCCTTTCTATGATGTAGTGTGAGTGCCAAGTCTTTGAACACAAAAGGTTTAACCAAGATGATCCAGAAAAAAAAAAAAAAAAACAAGATACAAACAGAAAAAGATAACAAAAATCAACAGTTTCACTTTCCAAACCATTACTACTACAATGTTCAATGTTCAGCTCATATTACAAAAAACATAGAACTACTAAGTAAGCTAAGTAAATTCCAAAAATCCAGTAAGCCCTGAGGGTCCAGAATATCCAAATAAGCCACACCGCATTTTCCATATGTTGATTCACCCGCCTAGCCTAAGGGTCCAGAATACTTGGTTCTTCATCCAACAAGCCACTTAGTTCACTTAGTTCTTCATCCAACATGCCACTTAGTTCAGCAACCGCACTTTCCACGTGTTGATTAACACGCCTGAGGGTGGAGATCACACTGGCGGCCGAAAATGTTCTCTTTATTTCGTTAATACGTTCCAATTTAGCCTGCAGTTCCAAAATACGCTTTTGGTTTTTATTCTCCATCTTCTGCAAAGAAGCTATCTTCTTCCGGAACTCCAAAGTCTTCCTGTGATTATCCAAACTCTCCGGTGTTATTGGTTCCGGAAGGTTTTCCGGAAGAAGATAGTCAGTGGCCCCCTCCTCAGCAGTGGCCCCCTCCTCAGCAGTGGCCCCCTCCTCAAGGGAGGATACCACACCCTGTACCGTCAAGCTTGAATCACACAGTACATCTTTTGTTCTTTTCAACTTCAGAGTTAGGGCTACCAATCCTCTTATATCTGATTGCGCTTGCCCAATCTCAGCCAACAAGGACTCAATTTGAGCCTCTTGAGCACCAAATATACCCTCCCATGCTAAGTGATCCAAGTCTAAGTTATCCATCCTCCTGAGATAAAAAAACAAAGTTACACATTTTATCAACACCCTTATCTCCAAAAACACTCGGTATTTTTCAAGAAACACTCAGGGTAGAAGCTCGTAATTGAGTCGCAGTTCAAGAATCTGATCTACAGAAAATAGAGAATTGAAATGAACTAAACCGTCACCTAAATATAAAATGAATAAAATCAGCAGATATATGCCCAATTCAAACACAAGAACAGTAACATGAATTATAAAGAGTATTACACTCTTCAGAAACATGTTCAATCATCCATCAAGAAACAAGAAACACAGGAAATTAAACTAAATGAATATACGGGAAGATCGATGTAGAAAAGTAGAGCTTAATTGTAATAAATCAAACACCAAGAAATGAGAAGAGTGAAGCACTGTGCAGGCATATATATATATATATATATATATATATATATATATATATATATAGAGAAATGAGGTATGGAGATAAGTCACCTTGGCGAAACCCTAGACTGATAGAGCAGACTGGGGAGGGCGACGCGAAATGAATTCGTAGAAGCTCGTAATTGAGTCGCAGTTCAAGAATCTGATCTACAGAAAATATAGAATTGAATTTACAGAGAGATGAATGAACTAAACCGTCACCTAAATATAAAATGAATAAAATCAGCAGATATATGCCCAATTCAAACACAAGAACAGTAACATGAATTATAAAGAATATTATTCCAAACATGTCAATCATCCATCAAGAAACAAGAAACACAGGAAATTAAACTAAATGAATATACGGGAAGATCGATGTAGAAAAGTAGAGCTTAATTGTAATAAATCAAACACCAAGAAATGAGAAGAGTTAAGCACTGTGCAGGCATATATATATATATATATATATATATATATATATATATATATATATATATATATATATATATATATATATATATATATATATATATATATATATAGAGAGAGAGAGAGAGAGAGAGAGAGAGAGAGAGAGAAATGAGGTATGGAGATAAGTCACCTTGGCGAAACCCTAGACTGATAGAGCATACTAGAGAGGGCGACGCGAAATGAATTCCAAAGTGAGAGTTCTGGTCTTCGGAAGGGAGCGGGACATTAGTACTTATACAGTTATACGGTTTGGGCCGGGTCTATCCAATATTGGGCCGGGCTGATATGTAATGTTAACCGTTTCCGATCTCTTTATCCTCGTTATCTCCAGACAGTAACATTACATTTATATTTACATCATATACGCAGTCAATATATACACATATATACAGCTATACAGGCGTAGATAAATACATCTTATCTTACTTCTTACTACATAAAATAGTCACTAATAACATATATTGAAAAATAATGTTTATTTTTGTGCAATTGTATTACAGGGGAAGTAGTCTTTGTTGGACGTCGTCCAGGAGTGTATGATAATTGGGAAGATACAAAAATGCAAGTCCACCGTTTTAGCGATAATTTGTATAAATCTTTCCCGACGAGAGAAGAAGTTGTTCATGCTTTCAACAATTTTCTGGAAAAAAAATCGATTCATCGTATAATATTGGGACATCTCCTTGTAGTTGTTCTAGTTCAACTTCCAGTTACGATAAATCAACAAATTCCCAACCAATAGAGGTTTTGGCGCGTGTACAAAAAGAGTTAGCTAGAGAGAATCATGAACATACGATCCGAGTGGATGCAATTTCTGAAGAGTTTAAACAGATGTTTCCAAAATAAATATCTAGTATCTTTGTACGCGTTCTTCAATGTTGTCATTTCACTATAATGGCAAGAGGTTGTCAATTTCACTATAAAATGGCATTTGAAAATACATGTTATGAAATCCCTATAAAATCCATTGATTTTCAACGTAAACGGCCACAAGTAATTCACATTTTACTCAAATCTTTGTTTCATTTCCTTGATTTTCAGATATGAACATTTTTACTTCATCTTGGGAATGTTTTCCTCATTTTAACGTCTTTCTCTAGCTTTTCTTATGAGATAGTTTCTGGTGTTAGTTGATATATTCACGAACAAAATGGCATTCAGGAATGACATCTTTAATTTGGAATAAAAATCTTTCGTGAAATGACCGAAAGATGCGAGCAGCTCGTAGCGGCGCCCCCGTACTCATTTTTTAATGTTATCCCTGCTGAGATTATAAACAATGCCCCTAACCCAAATGAACCGATTCAGGGTCGTCGTCGTCAGAGGCGACAAAGGCGGGGTGGGGTGGGAGGGGAGGGGCATGGTCGTAGACGAGTGCGTGGAATGCAACCGCCTAATACAGAGGCACCTGTTGTTTTAGAAAAAGATGATGCTGGGGATGAGGACGAGGATGAGGGTACGGAGAATGAGGTTAGGAGGGACAATCTATTGCCCGTTATGAGTACTCCCTCTTTTTGCGAGTTTGCTGGACCTTCTAGTAGTTCGCAACGTGACTTTCAAATGACTAATATTGCATATAGCTGCGAAGGTACTACTAGCAGTCAAATTCCAGTTTCGTATTCCCATTTTGGGAAGTGCTCACCCTACACACAATATGAGAATATTACATTCGCTGAACCGTCACTCCAGTATCAGAGTTTTACGACCCCGGCGAGTGCTGTGTACGATCCGACACAACAGAGGTCATCTTATCAACATGTCCATCATCAAACTCAAAATTATGAACCTCGTCCCACGTACAACATAATTCCTTATGACCACCCAATAATGCAACTTCAAAGGGGAGATCCCTCGAGTCAAGGTGGTAATCAAGATCAACAAAACCAACAGATGCCCCGTCGAACAACAAGAGTGAGCCGGCCAACCAGGTGTGGAACTGGTTCACGACATGATACACACAGGTACTAATATATATATGCAATTTAACTTAGTTAAATTTGTAGTGAATTTTTGACTTTTAACCTAAATTCTTTCACTTGCAGGGACCATTAAATATCATCGATGAATAAATCATAATTCAACCTTTTGGAAGAATAAATCATAATTCAAGCATGTATTAATGACTGAGTTAGTGAGATCAATTTGATGTATACAATACCATAAATTATTTTTACAGATGTAATTTTTTAAAAATATACATCATCATTATTAAATGATTATAATATTATAATAAATACTAGTATGATACCCGTGCGATGCACGGATGAATATTAGGCAATATTATAATAGTATTGTTTTTTTTAAAGGACTATTTATTTAAAAATACACAACTTAACATAAACATATATAAAATTCATATATTACAAAATAATTTAAATATAGTTAATATTAATTTTACAAAATACTAAACATTAATATTAAACTTATTTATAGACCACATTTGTAGTTGAAGAAGAGTGTACTCCATTTTTGCACAACTTTAACACTCTTATAGTTGATAGAAATTGTCTCTTTTAGAACTTAAATGGCAGCCAAGAATTTGATAGTGTAAATATCAATCTTGGATAAAAATTCGAGTCCTCAAATTATTTCGTGACATAATCTTTGATGCAATAACATTATCTCCTAATTTACTAATAACCAATCGCATTAAACAACGAATAACTTAATAATAATAATATTATTATTATTATTAAAATATTTTGTATTTTTTATAAATAATAATAATTGAATTACACTACATATAAATAAATATATTTGCAATGAAATAAATAAATAAACAAAATAAAAATATACTCCGTATATACCAGAGGCGCGAAATCCATGTACCATAAATTCTTCAAGTATAAATACGTTATGTAAACATTATTCATTAAAAAAGAAGTTCAAATAGTAAGAACTATTTTTCATTCAGCGCTCAATTGGTTTTATTTTTTTTTTTAATAAAAATCTGAAGCCCAATAATTGACCCGGCCCACATATAAAACCTAAAAATCTAAATTCAGACAGCATTTGCTTTCTTCCTCCCTTCTCGCTTTGCCATTTCACTCAACATCTCGCTATCCCTATTCTAAAACTTCATCACAAAACTTCATTACAGATTCGGCATCCAATTTATATTCCATGTCATTGGAGCTGAAATTGTTCATTTCAACATTCCTTGCATACTTCCGATCTTCGATCTAGTCGATCATATGGGTAGCCATAACTTATCTGCTGAAACCTCGATTTTGCAGTGGAACTATCCACGCTTGATTCGGATTGAACCTTCATATCCACTATTTCATGTTCATGATTGTGTTGTTGTTTCTACTGTTATTATTGGTTATGTAGCCTGAGATGATGTTGATTTTTCTACAGTTCATCGGGTATGGACGGACCCGACCCGTATCTTGGCGGGACGCCCTCCAGGTCTGCAGCAATGACGGTATGGTTTATAATTGATTGGATGTTATAGTTGACATCCATTGGATGTTATAATTGATTCAGCTGATGATTTACTGTTTTATTTTTCCAAAAATTTTAACATTTTCAATATCATAAACTTGATTCAACTTGTTATCATAATGTAAGCAAGCTTCATTTTGATTTTGCTAACTTTAGGCTAGAGACCTATGAACTTTACAAATGAATGACAATTTGAGAGAAATCTCAGTCCTAATTATATGATTTCAAAATTTGCAACCAGTTGTTTATCATCAATGTTCAATTGATTAATTAGTAGTTAGCTTTATTTGGTAAGATCATTCCTTAGTTGAATGCTCATTTACATTTGAAGCAGCCTCTCATATGCAGAAGTAGTTTAATTTGTGTTTTAGTTGCATTGTTAACAGTTACTCTCTATCCCTCCCAATTTCACCCCAGCATCCGATCCACTAATGAATTGTTGTTTAATTTTTATTCTATCCCCTTAGTCGTTTTTCTCAGAAAAAAAAATTATTTGTTTCTATTTGCTAGCAGATAACTTCCACGAATTAAAAAGGAAACATGAGGGGAGAAAAGAGGTATATTATTTTATGCTATTAGAACATTAGCAACCATCTGTTCCAGGAGCAAATATCTATGCTTAACATACCAATACAGAAATTTCTTAGACCTAGACCAGGTCCATCTAGAAATTTATGGAACTTTTGCAAATATGCAACTGGAATGCCATGTACTATTCCCTTCCTATCTTTCTCACCCAACTATGGTAATATGTGGTGTTTGAACTCGACGCTTCATGTTAGCAATTGAAAACACGATAAAATATTATAAGAACGCAAGTTCACTTGAACTCTTCAAGTACCTTATTCATCACCCCACTTACTGCTTGATTTCCCTCAAGATGAAAATTAAATAAACCTTTGTTCTATCTGTTTATTCTGTACAATAAACAGTTTAATATATATATATATATATATATATATATATATATATATATATATATATATATTGTAGTTCTATCTTTTTATTTTTATATTTTGTAGGTCTACATATTGTAGTTCTGCTTACCGTACCAATTTTGTAATTTCAATTTATGGAATGTGGATTAATTTTCTCAATAAAATCTAATGACCTGCTGCATTTATTTACTACGTATTAAATATTGTAATTATTTACCTACATGCCATGAGATAATTTGAATCACTGCAAATCTAAATTTTAATAAATGCAGGCTGCATTGTACTGGTAACAGTGGTAAGAAAGTACATATTTTCCAGATCTAATCATAATAATCTTCAATGAAAAACATTTAACAACTGGCTATAATCTTACCACACCTTATTATTTTTGTTAGGGTTTATATCTTTGTTCCTGCACACAATCTTCAGAAGCAGCAAAGAAAGCAAAGGTTGCAGAAACAAAAAACTTACCTGAGTTGTCCAGCTCCTTAGATCCCAGAAATATTCATCTTCAACAGACTGTATGGTATATACGTATTACTATCTTATTGCTTCATTTTGACAGCAAATGCTTTATTGTAAACTTTAGAGATTATCATTCTACAGGTCTGCAAAAATATACCAGAGCCTATAATCATTCCCCTGTAACAGAAGATGCAATGGGTTCTCAACTTTTGTCATATCATTATTTTATATTATACATGATGATGGTATCAACCTATGAAAAAAGAGAGTTTCCTTTTACATTCACCATTGCACTCAAATACTGTAGAAGGTGGTTTCTTGGCTCCATTATGCCCACCTCTTTCCATGATTCTTGTCTTTTGTATTTTGCAGGCAAGTTGTTGGAGCCTCTCTACATTCTACCGTCTTGTGCCTGGCCGCCATGAAAATTCAAGAATGGTTCTTCTCTGCAACTTTGACTCATTTTTTCTGATGATGAAGTCACAATGGCGTCTATATTGCGAACTATGAGCGCTTATTTATAGTGTCGTCTATGATTATAGATTATAGAAGTTTATGTACATTTAATGTTAGTCTTGAAGATTGCACAAGTCATTTCAGATTTAAATTCATCTTGTATTTATACTTGTATTGATATTGATGTCTTGTAATTATTATTTAAGTATACGAAGAGGCAAGATGAATATCCTCTTGAATGTAGCAAAAAATTATGATATGCATATAACCTTTCAAATTTCAATGTGATTAATGAATTCGAAATTCCCAAACAAACCCCAAAATATCTTATCTGGCTTTATTCCAAAAGAAAACTCAAAATGTCTTTAAGCCAAAATATTTGAGCGGAAAACTTTGGCTCTATTGTTGTTTTCTAGGTGTGTGGCTTTTTTATATAGTAAGAAGTAAGATATCATTATTAATCAATCAATATAATTACATAATATAATTCATGAACCAATAATTAGTAATCATTGTTACATTATCCATTAATCATTTGGAAATCAACACAAAATCATTATTAATCACAACACAAAATATCCACACGGAAAATTACTTTGGCTTTTTTAAATAATAACAAGGCAAACAAAAATTGTTTTTATAGTTTTAGATAACAAGACAAACACAAATCCTTTTTATGGTTATTCCTTCTTTTGCCGCATTTCAAAAACTGGTATGATTTGGAATCCATTTCAAATTGTTGTCACCATCGGAGAAAGCAACGCTTCCCGGAAAAAATCTTGATTAAAATAAAGAGGAAAATGATGAATAAGAAGAGAGGATCGCCGGCTACCCTTCTTCTTCTTATGGAGTCCAGCTCCACTTTTGAAATTGGTTTCACTTCAATTATGTTGGTCTAACAGTTTTCGGAGAAGCCCAATAGAATCTTTAAGGTCTTCTCCTCCCGGGTCAACTTGTCAATTTTGAATTCTTGAGAGAAGAAGAAATTTTCAGTCGTTGGTAATGGAGAGTGTTGCTGGGTGGCAATGGCAAGGGCTGTTTCTGGGAGGATTAGCTTCGTGGGTTGTGATTTCTTCAATTTTTAATGTGACCCAGAAGATTAGATCTCTCACTCAACCCTGGGTTTCTCGCCAAGTGGTCTCCGGCACCCCCATTTCTTTGCAGATCCAGGTTTTTGCTCCTAGTATTTTGTTCTTGTATATGCGTATTCATGTGTGGAAATCCCATATCAATTCGGTTGGACATTATCTTCGGGTTATATTATTTGAATTATGGTTTTGATGATCTTCCTTTTTTGTTTTTGGTGCTGTAGAAATACCAGCATGGGTATTTGGATGGCTTCTTTTCTGGGTTGTCTTGTAGCGTTTCTGTGCCTTTCTACACCGCGTTTCTTCCCTTTCTCTTCTGGGTACGCTATCTATCCCTCCATCTGGGGAAGAGAATACAAGTAGAACTATTATCTAACAGTTTATGAGTTTGATTGGTTCAACTTTTTTGTTGTTTTTTTGTATTGCAGAGCGGGCATTCTAAATTGGCTCGGCAGATGACCCTTTTGATGGCTTTCTGTGATTATATGGGCAACTGTATAAAGGTACTTTTTTTCTTCACTTTCAACTTCACTCACATGAAACCAGCTTGGTTGGATTGAGTGGCCGTGCATTCTTGTCCTTTAAGATAGATCGGGAGTTCGAACCAAATCAATTTGGCCAACACTTTGCCCCCTTAATTGGGCCGACCTGGTGCGAACGAGATTAGTCTGAGTATAGTATGGACTTAAAGGCCCTTCTTACAGTTAGGGTCTTAGGGCCTGTTCAGGACACCTCGACCAAAAAAGCTTCACTCACATGATCATCTTTTTTGGGGTATAACTTCATTTACTGTTATGCTAATGTTTTATGATTGAATACATTATTGTTCTTTGCAGGATGTGGTATCAGCCCCTAGACCTACTTCACCGCCTGTTAGGAGAATAACTGCCACGGAAGATGAGAAAGAAAATGCATTGGAATATGGAATGCCTTCTTCGCACACTCTTAATACTATCTGCTTGTCCGGGTATTGAGCTACCGAATTCCTTCATATTGCTCATTTATCTGTCTTCGTTGGTGTACCAAAAAGATCGTAGGATTTGGTAGATGTTCATATATTCTTGGTAAATGAATCCTGTGGCATAGTGCTTCACCTTCTTGACCTTGGTCCTATAAACTTCTTAGACAATGCCATTTCTGTGTGACTTAATGGAATATATAGTGCCATCCCTTAGTTTTGCTATGGACGTCGTTTAATGTATTCCTCTTCTTTCTTTGGAAACTCAGGTACCTTTTGCACTATGTCTTATCCCACACCAAGAACGAAGATCTTTCCACGGAGATAACAGGAATTGCCCTTGTTTGCTTACTTGTGAGCCTGATTGGCTTAGGTAAGTCTAGTGTCTTTGATATGAATACATGATTCTTGATTGCTACAATTCTTTAGAGTTCGAGCTGAAATTTGTTTCATTTTTAGGGAGAATATACCTTGGGATGCACAGCTTGATTGACATTATTGGAGGTCTAGCTTTTGGACTGGCAATCCTGGCATTTTGGCTCTCTGTTCACAATTACTTAGACGATTTCATAGTTTCAGGACAAAATGGTATGGATACTATTCATCATCCACTAATTTTAAGTTCATTCCTTCCTAATATGTTTTTCCTATTGCTACGTATGAATTTTGATTTGATGATTCCTTTACATTATTAAGAAGTTTTGCCTTTTTGCAGTTACATCCTTTTGGAGCACACTAACCTTCATGTTGCTCTTTGCCTATCCAACACCGGAGCAGCCTACTCCAAGTTTTGAATATCATACAGCCTTCGACGGTGTTGCTTTGGGAATTGCAAGTATGCTCTTTTCAATTATTTCTTGCTCTACCTCTCCTCTTTCTTGAGTTTTACGAGCACCTTATTAATGCTGTTGGAATCTACGAAAATTCTTTGCCAGGTTGCTGGAATCCAGCAAACTTATCATCAGTTTCACCATGAAGATGTTCCAAAGGTCTTTACTGAGCTCTCGACCCCTGCATTTGTCGGTAGAATGCTAGTAGGAATACCAACGATACTCCTAGTGAAGTTCTGCAGCAAGGCTCTCGCGAAATGGATGCTACCCATGCTTGCCAACGCCCTGAGCCTCCCGGTAAGATCAACAAGCTACGTCCCGGGGCTAAGCAGCTCTGCCATCACCAAGAAGTCGGATGAAACAAAGCCAGCCTCAGGTTATCTGCAAAAATTGTTCTTTTTCTCCCAACAGGACTCGTTTGATGTGGATACAGGCATTCGACTCCTTCAATACACTGGCCTTGGCTGGGCTGTCGTAGATCTTGTTCCATCTTTATTCACTTACCTAAGACTCTGATGCTTTGGTACCTTCATCAGTCATAGAATTCCAATGCATATTTTATTTGTGTAAATCATGAGGAATCTCGAAACGCTCCGAGAGGCACTGGTCCAAGAGGAATTGTCACTTGTGAGAATCAAATCCGAGTTATCTAAAAAATTGTTCCCAAAAAGAAACTTATTTGTCACTTGAGCTACCCTTTTAGGTTGGTTAAAAGATACATGTTACGGTAATTTGGTCACGTACTCGCTAATTTCTTTGTTTGTTGTTTCTCCATCGAAACAATGTTTGTGAAAATGTAGGATGAAAAATTCTTCAATAGTGAATATGATATTAAAAATAGTTACATTTTGTGACTTTAACAATTTTGAAATGATGACTTTAGTTTTATTAAATTACAAAATGTATTGTATCATTTCGATATTATTACAATTTGATATGAAAACAAGTGTCAAAACATATAGTATGCAAATATCTTAAGAACACATATAAAGTGTAAATTTGAATAATACAATATATGAATACCGTTAGTTCAACATATTACATAACAAGTTAGTCCATTTAGAAGACTCAAAGGTATTACCAAATTCAAGATGATTTTTGAAGTTACTTTATAGTAACACATGACATATGTTGTGAATATTTTAAATATTTATAAATCAATTCGATTTCATATTTTTTTAAAAATTATTTTAATATTAAATAATTTCTTTTGAGTGCTAGTGATTATTATTGTTATTTTTTTCCGTTCTATTGCTATTGATTATATTATAATACAATATCACCTCTACTAAGAGTTAAACGATCTCTCATTTGGAAGAGTCCTTTGTGCCACTAGACCACATGGTCATTGACAATATTAAAAATAAAAAATAAAAAATTGAGTGTTATTGACTATGTTACAATGTAATATATGTTTATAACTACTTTCTCAATTTACTGAAACACAAAAAGTTAATACCACCTCCATTGCAACCTTGTGCAATATTAAAAAATTTAGTCCTTCAATTTTTCAAATTGATTTCAATTTAATCTCTCGGTATCATTTATTTTTAAAAAATTTAATGTTACGGAGTATTTTTGAAAGTTCACACTTCAACCCTCAATTTCCTCCATAATATCCTTTTAAGTTTTCTGTAGTATACGTTTATTTTTATCATGTATATCGATTTCGCCCCAAACAATTTTGTTTATCCTGTTCATTAGAATCTGATGACCGTAAAAAGGGAGCAAAACAAAATCAAAGGTGAATCAATCGCTATGTAGTATGATGTCACGAACTACTTTATCTGGTAAATTCCTATCCTACAATCCTCTCGTAGTTCATCGTCTAAATCGATTTCATGCCGAATTTTAGTTTTGAGATCGTAAGAGTGAGTCTATGTAAGGAATGATGGAATGAAGGTTCTGCTTGATGACATTTTTTTTATTTTGCTTAGAAATGGCTGCTTTACGATTGAAAACTTGCAATGCGTAAGGAAATGTGATCGTTGTTAAGGTTCTGCTAATTGCTAAGCCTTCTTATTTATGTTCATGATTTCTGGTTAGTTTGCTTGTAAGAAATGCATTCATTGTCACGATTCTGCTAAGCTGCACATTATGTCATTAGCTCTGAGCCTGTGAGTCGTTTTTTTAAATAGAGTTTGAACTTTGAGCTGAACATTCATGAAGTTCGAACTAAATATTTTGTATCCTAATGTTGATCTCATTTGAACTAAATGTTGATTAGGTCTCCTATAGATATGTGAATTGGGCTCCTAGTATAGCAATTGCAGGTGAACTTGTTTTGTTCATGATGGTGTTCATTTCATGTGTATTTTTGATAGAGTTTGTTGACAATTGCTTAGCCAAGTTTTGACTTATAATTTCATTTACAATTTTTTATCCTGGAAACTGGAAATTTTGCTTGTTTGCCATTTCCTCACATGGATTCTTGTAAATTGTAATGATATCTGAATTAACTCGTCTTTCATCATTCAGTCAAAAGGTGGTATATACATCACATATTGTTATTTGAGCTTTGGAGATGAGCTTTTATACTTTTGCATTGTGCTAAGTAAACTAATGGTGATAATACAATCAGATACCCATATCGGACTTGAAAATGGGTGGACCTGAGATGCTGGAATGGATTGTTCAATCATTTGTCATGCATAAAAGGTCTCGCTTGCCAGAATATACTTCGCTACAGGTAAGGCTAGTTTATCTGGTTTGTATCTTCAATTGAGATATTGTGTTTTTAAAAAGATGGCTGGCACTTTGTTTCATTACAAGCAGCTTAAGGAAAAGTTTGTTCAAGGCAGTCATCCTTGTTTTGCACCATTAAAGGAAAGAAGTGGAATGCCATCCGGAATCAATCTGAAAAGATTATCTCTGCAGATAGAGAGATACAAGAAAATAGTGCTAGGAAACCTCTTGCACCAATTGAAAACTTGTCAACTGGGAATCAATATGCAAATGATATTTGTATTGAGGACACTAAAGAGACACATGGAGAGGGTGCTATAATTCCTCCTACACCAAATGAAAACTTGGTCTCTTCCAGCCAAGGTAAATGGGAACAGTCAGTGCAAAATTTTACCTGCTAAGAACCTTCTACCTGCCAAGAGGAGCAAGCCTGCTTCTTCAGCTGATATTCAGGGAGGGAAGTGCACTGTTGAGCAAACTATGGCTGAGAATGCTTGTTATCCTTGTACTGAGGGCACCAAGAAACACAAACAGGATGTAATTTGTCTTGTTGATAAAATTGGTGAGCATATTGCTCAAGACATTGAAAAAGAAGGGTACATTTTTGAAAAGGAATCAACAGCTGGGGACTTACTAGCAACCGAACCTCCAATGGATGATAACAACATGCATACTGCTCTTAAAAACCTCAGAAAGAGCTGTGACAATAGGCATGCTGTGCAACTTCATCATAGTGACACCGAAGTCCCTCATGGAACAAATGCTAAGGAGGATACCAACAGTTTTCAAATTATTTGTGTCAGTGCAGCCAGCGAAGAGACTGCTCATGATGTATTAAGAAATGAAAATGGCTTTACGCAACATTTAATACAACTGGATTCTCTTTCCAATGAAGCTGAAGTAAAGTTGCAGCATTATCTTTCTCAGGATTCATCAAATGGTGGACCCACTAATGAAGTCAGAGATAACATTGAGCATAATCCTGAAGCAGAGTCCTGTAGTGATAGTGATGGTTATCACGAAGAGAAGATTGAAATAGCTAAAAAGAAGAGTGCTTTCTTGAGCTCACAATGCACAAATAGTCCAGATTCATTTGCAACTGCTGACTCTAAAGAGCTAAATCTTTGTGTGAAGTGTAATAAAGATGGCAAACTGTTGGTCTGTAGTTCTGAAACCTGTCCAATAGTGGTCCATGATAGCTGTTTGGGCTCTGTTCCCATCCTAGATAAGGCAGGAGGATTTTACTGCCCTTTTTGTGCATATTCTCAGGCAATTTCTAAGTACCTGGAAGTTAAGAAGAAGGTGTCGCATGCAAGGAATGATCTGAAGTCCTCTTTTGGCTTTGGAATCAAACAATCATCTAAACACTTATCCCCAAGATCAGGCAAGTTGAGACAAAACCAACCACAGCAAGATGATGAATCATCTGAAAATGATGTCACAATCAGCAACAGTTCTTTGAACAAGGTCAGCTTCCAAATATTCTATGCAGTTTAGAAAACCAGACTGGTAGTATGATTCATTCGTACTAATTGTTTTTTTTTTCCTTTAGTATTTGATTTTAACTTCCCTCCTGTTTTCTCTCCCATATCCTTTCTTCTTACTTTCTAAATATGCTCAAGATTGGTTTAGTTATGTGAACTGACACTGGGCGACCTCCAGCAAGCTAGTCAGCCTCTTTATTTTACATCCCTAATCAAGGCGAAAGAAGCTACATTGTACAGAAGACGAGGAGGAAACATTGAAGGTAAAAAAATTCCTCTCTAATATCATCTTTCATTCAAAGGTTGAGATTTGTATTTTGTATAGTGGCTAAGCTCTTCCTCATCAACCATTGGGGCATGAATTGTAGTGTTGGGAACCTTCCTGAAAACAGAGATAAAGTTGGACATCCCTTACCCTGGTACTTTAGTGCAATGAATTTATGACGCAGGAGGGTGTGCAGAAATAGTCAGCACTCACGATCAAAGTATTTCTTGGAAGAATATTTTGGAATTTGGAGGCTATTATGTTTACCATTTAAGGTAGTACTGTAGACCTCAAAGATAAATGGAACAGCATTTTGCAAAGGAAACGCAAAAGCGACATGAACAACTTGACCATTAGGTGTACAGTTTCATATTTTCTTCGTTGGCATTGCTATTTGAACTTGTCCAAATGTGGATGAATCTTGATTTTCATTGAAGATAATTTTGAGCACGCTTATAAATAGTGGATTGATTTTTTTTTTTTTTGAAAGGGTGGATTGATTTTTGTTTCATTTCACTAGCATTTGAAGAGGCTTTAGGGAAAGAAAAAAAAAAACCATTCTAATAGGGTGCACCGTGCAATGGTGTACAAAGCAAAAACAGCAGAACAAACCAAGATGACATAAAATGCCTCATGGTAGCAAACTACCAATTTGCAGGCAATCTTTTTTTTTTTTTTTTAAATTGAGTTAATGTCATATCTGAGCTAGTGACAATTAAATATTAAACTGAAACAACAAATGCTACAATTGAACATAGCTCAAAGGTAAAGAAAGTTGAATCATTTGCTGATAAGATAGAAGTTCTAAAATTGTTAATCAGAAGTACTCATTTGTTGAATCAGCTCAGTAATCTCCTTTATTTAAGGACAGCATTGGAGGCGTTCAAGCAGCAATACGCCAATACCATCTAAAGTTTAGCTTGAAAGATAACAATAACTTACAAAGAAAATGAAAGGAAACTCATAAGAGCATAAGTAATGATCGGTCTCTGAATATGCATGAAGACCGCATGACTGATAGTACTAACATTGTGGTGTCAAATTGATATTCCCAAGATGAATAGAAGTTTGGCTGACCGACTTAGAGGATGCCACAACCTGTCCTCCATGATATTAGAATCAACTTTGATGATAAAAAGTTTGAGCTTAAAATCACTTGTATATCAGGGCATCGCGTCCGGGCCCAACTCCAATGTAATGGACAGGTACACCAACAAGCTCCTCTATCCTTTCTACATATTGGCGTGCAGCTGAAGGAAGTTCAGAGTACTTTCGGACAGAGGAAATGTCACACTGCCAACCAGGCAAAACTTCGTATTCCACCTATAGCGCACAAAATTATAGCTACTTAGTGTACAAATTAAACCAGAAACGAAGAAAAACTCATAACACAATAGAACCCCCTTAATCTGGAATTATGTAGAGAGTGGGTACATGGAAAACTCAGATCATTTGTTTAGAATAATGATGAAAGGCCATTCACTTTGGAATACCACAGTTCAGGCAAATACAAGACAAGGATAAAAAAAAAAAAGAAAAAAAAAAAACATGAGAAGAAAAGAAACAAAGAAAGAGAAGACACATGCCTTAACTTGATCAAGGATTCTAAGATCTGCAGGGAATGATCTGATTGGTGAACCATCAAGTTGTTTGTAAGAAACACCAATCTCAATTTCTGGAAGTTCTGATAATACATCAAGTTTAGTGAGGTTCAGAGAGGAAAATCCATTTATCTGGCAGCAGTATTTCAAAGCAACTATGTCAAGCCAGCCACAGCGACGAGGGCGACCAGTTGTTGTTCCAAACTCTTGCCCAGCAAACCGAAGCAAGTCACCACCTTTACCCAAGATTTCTGTTGGGAAAGGACCTGAACCAACCCTTGTGGTGTATGCTTTAACCTGAACAAGGCAATTCATCAAAATCCACGACCACTTGATAGATAACAAAGAACAAGAGTTGTCATGACTCAAAGTGGCATACTATTGATTCCTAAAGCTAGTTCCGTCGCAAGTGTATCACAAGTTATAAACGCTTACCAAAAAATCTTAAAGTCATACAAGGATTTACATAGTATAGCATTATAAAGGAGAGCAATATGCTTTAAGCATCATAAAATGAATAGCATGGAGTATCTAGCCTGTTTGAACATGATGAGAATGGTATATTCTTTCATTTAAATGAATGATAGCATTAAGTTCACTTACCACTCCGATAAGGTCACCAACAACTCTAGGAGCAATGCCTAAACCTGTGCAGATTCCACCAGCAGAAGGACTTGAGGAAGTCACAAACGGATATGTTCCAAAATCAATGTCCAACATAGTAGCCTGACCACCTTCCACTAAAACCTTCTTACTCTGAGAAATAGTTTCACTCATGAAATCAACTGTATCAGTTATGAAAGGTTCCAACCTCTCAGCAATTTTTTTGTATCGTTCAACTTCCTCCCTGAGCATGTCAGGACCATAGTTAAAATCAGGAAATCTCGAAGCTGCATCTGATAGTAAAAGATCAAGCTTTTGAGGGAAAGTATCCATGTGCCTCAAGTCACCTACTCTGATGCCATTTCTAATCACCTTACTTGAATAACAAGGCCCAATTCCTCTCCTTGTGGTGCCAATAAACGATTTAGCCAGTTCAGCCTCGCGGAGCCCATCCACTTAGGGCTGTGCAAACCCGACCCAACCCGTCCGATCCGAAAACCGAAACCACCTCATCCGACCCGCCCGTGGTCCGATTAGCCATATCCGAACCGAAGGCATAAACGACGTCGGATAAAGGAGGTCGGATAGGGTTTGGTTTTTTCCCATCCGACAATCCGATCTAACCTAGGGTTAGGTTTTATGTGTATGCTAGACGACGTCGTATGAGGTGAGTATATATGTATGTTGAAGCCCTTGTGAAGCCAGATGCGCAGCCCTACTCTTCTCTGAGACTCTCTCACTCTCAGATCTCTTCTCTCGTTCTCTGCTCTCTACTCCTCTCAATCTCATCCTCTCATTCCTTTGAGTCTCTCACAGTCTCATCTCTCTCTAGTCTGTACTCTCTGAGACTGAGAGTCTGACTGTATGAGACTCTGAGTCTCTGTGGACTGTGGAGTCTTCGACTGTCCGATTGTCCGATTGTCCGGTGGGCGGTGGTCGACTGGTGGAAGCCCTTCTCGAGTTGGTGGTGGAACGTGGACTGGTGATTAGAGGCCCTTGTTCTCCGGGGAATATTAAGGGGAAACCAAGTAAATCAGAAACCCTAGTTTTTGTTTTTGTGATCTGTTGATTCTTTCCTCTCTGTATGTTCATATGCTCGTATATTTGTGTTAGATTATGCTATGTTGTGTTCTATTCTCTGATCTATTATGGTGGAAGCAGAAACCCTAGTTTTTGTTTTTGTGATCTGTTGATTCTTTTCTCTCTGTATGTTCATATATGCTCGTATATTATTGTTAGATTATGCTATGTTGTGTTCTATTCTATGATCTATTATGGTGGAAGCAGAAACCCTAGTTTTTGTTTTTGTGATCTGTTGATTCTTTTCTCTCTGTATGTTCATATGCTCGTATATTATTGTTAGATTATGCTATGTTGTGTTCTATTCTCTGATCTATAAAGGTGGAAGCAGAAACCCTAGTTTTGTACTTGTGATTTGTGTGGACTGTGATATTGTAATCTGTTGAGAAGTTCCAGATTGCATCTCACTTGTCTCTAATTTTGTACTTGTGATTTGTGTGGACTGTGATATTGTAATCTGTTGAGAAGTTCCAGATTGCATCTCACTTGTCTCTAATTTTGTACTTGTGATTTGTGTGGACTGTGATATTGTGATATTGTTGATACTTGAGAAGTTCCAGATTGCATTTATTGGTGGAAGCCATTAAATGTTGAAATAAAAGTTAAAGGCTTGAATGTGAAATTATCAAGTTTCAAACTTGAAATTTCCATTTATTGGTGGAAGCCATTAACTGAAATCCAGATAATGATGAATTGGATACAATTCCTGAATCTGGATTTCTTTCATTATTTGAGTATGTTTATGGATGTATTACCCTTAATTGAATATTTGAATGTAAATATGTAAATATGTAAATATGAAAATGTGAAATCTTGATACATGATGACACAAAAAGTGTATGAATCCTGATTTCTTTGTATGTTTATGTGAATGTGATTGTTGGCTTGTTGCCTTTGCTGAGTAATTGATGCCCATCATTTTAGATGGAAAGCATCAATGTTCCTGACTCTGGACCCCAACCCTCAACTCAAGAGGGACATGGAGGACAAGCCCAAGGCACTGAGAATCCTGCTCAGCAGCCTCAGGTTGCTCCTGCTGTTCCTGCAAAAAAAGAGGAGGGTGGTTGAGTCTAGATCTCCAGTCTGGGATCACTTTGAAAAGATCAAAAACTCTGAAAATATAGTGGTTCAAGGCAAGTGTCTTTACTGCCTGAAAGTGTTTTTCTGTGAGTCAAAGAAACATGGCACATCATCTTTGAAAAATCATATGATGGCATGCCTTAAAAATCCTGTTTCAAAGGATATGAGGCAGTCCCTTCTCACATTCAATACTGTTTCAACTTCTGCAACAGAGGCTCCTGTGGGGGTTTTGGGGACTTGGGTCTTTAATCAAGAAGCCATTAGAAGGGCATTATGTGAGATGATCATAATAGATGAACTCCCTTTTAGGTTTGTTGAGGGTCAGGGGTTCAAGAAGTTTATTCTTGTAGCTTGTCCTAGGTTTCAGATTCCTTCTAGGTGGACTATTTCTAGGGATATCTACCAAATCTTCCTAGATGAGAGGTTGAGTCTTAAGAAGTTGTTTAGGGTGGGCACCCAAAGGGTCAGTTTAACCACTGATACTTGGACTTCTGTCCAAAGGATTAATTATATGTGCATTACTGCACATTTTATTGATGACCAGTGGAGGCTTCAGAAAAAAATCATTTCCTTTGTCCCTGTTTCTTCTCATAGGGGGGAGTATATTGCCAAAGCCTTAGAGAGTTGTCTGTTGGAGTGGGTGATTAAAAATGTGTTCACTGTGACAGTGGACAATGCTTCTTCTAATGATACAGCTATGGGATTTTTTAAAAACAAGTTGTTGTCTTGGGGGGGTTCTTCTGTTAGGGTGCAGTATATGCACATGAGGTGTATAGCCCATATTTTAAACTTAGTGGTTCAAGATGGCTTGAGGTTTGCAGATGAGTCAGTTAAAAGGGTGAGGGATGCAGTGAGATGGGTTAGGAACTCACCTGCTAGGTTGAATAAGTTCAGAGAACTTGC